AGTCTGTGCACAGATTAATTGGGGAGTGGCTGGCGGTATCATAGTCGCCAGTGTTTATCTTGTCACGTCCATTGGCATCTCGGGCGAAAACATTGAGGTGTTGTGGGCCTTGGCCCAGAGAGTGGCAGCATGGAACTCACGGGGCCTCGACTGGATCCTAGGCGGCGACCGGAACGCCGACATCGATGCGCCTAATGTTCGCAACTGGGTCGAGACCATGGCAGCCATCCACTATGTGCCCGACCAGCACACCTGCATCACCGATGAGGGCAAGAGCACCATAGACTATGTTGTTGTCTGTGCCAATTTAGCGTCTCGCATCAAGGGCAAGCCAGAGGTCCAGTATGACTCCACGGTCGCGCCGCCGCCGCACTTCCCTGTGGAGCTGCAGCTCATGGGCGAGGATCGCCCCACGTGGTGCCGTGTCCCTGTGGAGCCGCGACCTTTTGCGGTGGTGCCGCCAGTTGGCTGTGCCAGGCATCCCTACCCGTGGCATATGCTCCAGACAGAGTTCCAACGGGTCAGCAGTGTCGACGACCTGAGCTCGCTCTGGGACTCTGTGCTGCGAGGGGTGGACTACGAGCTGGCAGGGCGTTACGACTGCGTGGGCGCCAAGGCCATGCAGTACATCGGACGCGAGGGGCCGCCGCAGTTCAAGTGGCAGCACCTGTCATGGCAGCCGCCGCGCAGGCGTACCTACAAGGAGCCGACTGTGCTGGCCTGGGCCACGGCGAAGCGCTGGCCCAGCACCTCGTGGCCGAGAAGAAGCGGCTTGTGAGGTACATCGAGCGCCTCAAGCTGTGTGCCGCCGTTTGCGCCATCACGCCGCTGCAGTACACCAAGGTCGTCGTGGCCTTCAATGAAGTGGCTGCCTTTTATGGACGTGTGGCTCGGTCAGTGCAGGTGTTGTGTGTTTTGGATGTTGCCTTCGCAGGTTTCTTTCGGCGAGGGCTGACTGGCTTGGTCGAGGCTGACTTTGAGGACGTAGCCAATGCCATCATTGCCAGAGCTGATTCTCATTTGAGAACGGCGCAAAGAGCGTCGGAGAGGGCTTGGCGGCAGTGGGCCAAAGAAGCCTTCTTGGGAGGAGCATCTCGGGCGCATTCGTCCTCCAAGGTTCGGGCTCGACAGGAGGTGCTCGCCTACTCCCCTGACGCTCAGCCATACCAGATGGCCGACCGTACGCTCGACAAGTGGAGGGACGTTTGGACGTACCACGGTGCATGCCCTCTGCCGCTGCCTGTCGGTCATGCTCAGTGGCCTTTGCTTCCGCCCTTGTCTGCATCGCAGGTGCGTGGAGCCACCAGAAGCTTTCCATTGAAGACGGCCCCGGGCCAGGCGAGGATCGCGCCACGCACGCTCGATGTGCTGTCCGACCAGGCCTTGCAGAGCCTGGCTGACATGTTCATGCAGTTTGAGAGTTGGCTGGCCTGGCCTACGGACAGGCTCTACAGCGAGCTTGTTCGCCTGCCCAAGCCTGACGGGGACACTAGGTTGATCGTCCTCAGCCATACTTTCGTCAGGTTGTGGGGAAAGCTTCGTCGGCCGCTTTCATCGGAGTGGCAAGAGGCTCACAGTTGCGAACATATGTGGGGGCCCAGGGCTGGGCAGACTTCGACCGATTCAGCCTTCGACCACAACCTGAGCCAGGAGATAGGAGAACTTTTAGGTGAGCACACATGCACCATTCTCTTGGACATGACCAAGTGCTTCGATATGGTCAGTCACAGTGCACTTCTCCGAGAAGCCAGAGAGCTCGGGTACCCGCTGAGGCTCCTGTGGTTGCTCCTGGGCTCCTACCGCCAGCCGAGAAGGATCAAGTGTTGTGGGTCCGTATCCAGGCCCTTGGTGGCCCATCAGGGTATTCTTGCGGGCTGCACGCACGCCACGTATCTTTTATATCTCCTCACGTACCGAGCGGTCCAGCGCACGGCCAGTATTGCACCTACTATCACGCCACGCACGCTCATGGACGATGTGGGCCTGCAGTACGTGTCGCCCGTATTGAGGGAGGTGTCCAACCTGGCCCGAGCGGCCAAGGCGCGCACGGCTGATGCAGGAGATCTCGGGATGGCCCTGAAGCCGCCGAAGTCTGGATGTATCCCTGGGACCCAAAAGGTTTGGGGGCAGCTCAAGAGGCACCTGGGAACCTTGAAGATACCGTACAGGGCCCACATGAGGAATCTGGGACACGAGCTCACAGGACCTCGAGTTCTTCGGCATATGGAGAAGCGTAGGCTGGTGCAGTTTCGTGAGCGCAAGCATCGTTTTCGCATGTTGAAGTCCGCCGTGGGGCGGAGTGCTACCAGCCTGTGGCGCACGGGCGCCCTTCCATCAGTGGCGCATGGCGGTGCAGTTGCTGGAGTTAGTGACAGCGCCCTTCGTGAGTTGCGACATTGTGCTGCGGTCCTAAATGGTGCTCCAGGTAAGACGATGGTTGGGGTAACAGCGTATCTTATATCTCATCGGGATGAATGTTATGACCCCATATATAACGCCACCACGGACATTGTGCTCAAATACGCTTCCTGGATCTGGGACGGGCGTGTGCAACCTAGCAGACTTCAGGAGGCTTGGGTATGTCTGGGTGCTAAGTTTGAGAGTTCACCTTCCTGGTCTAAGGCGCGAGGGCCCCTCGGGGCCACTTGGCTTACTTTGAGGCGCATCTCCTGGACTATGTCGTCAGAGCACATCCTGGTCGACGATTTGGGAAATAGTTTTGGCTTATATCGTATGTGTCCAGCAGACCTGCGAGTGTTCCTGCATCAGGGCATCCAGCGCTGGCAGCACCATAGGTTGCAGCAGCATTTTTACACCGAGCAGGCGGATGTGTGGCATCGTGCGCTACGCCACTCGCTCGCCAAGGTAAAGTGTCACAGGCGCCTCGGAGCGCTGCAGGCTTTGTGGGCTGACAATCTTCCCATCCCACCGCGTCGGGACATGAAGCACGGGAGGCCCATCAGGCCTTGTCAGGCCTGTGGCAAGGCTATCGACTCCTGTTGGGGTCATATATTTTACGACTGCCCGCCGCTCCTCGAAGGGGACCCCGACCAGGAATATTATGAGTTTCCAGAACAGTTTCAGGAGGTTCGAGACATGCTTCAGGCGTCTGGGCAGCTGCTGGGGTGCACCGACTGGGACCAGAGATACCTGGTCTATGGGGTTCCTGAGCCTGTCGCTGTGCCGCACTACACTACGGTCTCCAATGAGGTTTTTGAGTGGGGAGATGTCTCAGGCTCCTGGGGGCCTACATCCTATACTGATGGTTCGGGGTTCTCGGCCAGCATTCCTGAAGTACGTAGGTGTGGTTGGTCGGTCTGCCAGTTGGACCCCGTCACGTGGCTCCCCGCCAGAGCTGTATATGGGCCCTTGCCCTACTATGTGCAGACGGTAGGCCGTGCTGAGCGCTATGCCATCAAGATGGGACTTCAGAAGCATCCAGGGCATGAGGCTTTCATTTCGGATCTGAAATCGCTCGTGGAGGAGGGCACGTCCTGGGACCAGAAGCTCGAGTTTGGCAAAGCGAAGCACGCCCGAGTCTGGAGAGACATTTTTTCGGCTGCCAGAGCACGCGATCCACGTCTGCCACCAGTGCGGTTTCAGTGGACTCCAGCTCACAGGAAGCTGGAGGACATCATCGAGTCGGCCACGCCAGACGAGCTGGAGGCCTTCGTCGGCAATGCCTGGGCCGACTTCTTCGCGAAGTGCGGCAGCGCTGCACACATGGTGTCTAAAACAATGGCTGACAGTTTGGCCGCTGCGTTGAAGCAGCACAAGCAGGTCTTGCACTATGTGTCTTGGGCGGCTTTCCAGGTGGTTCAGTTTCGGAAGTGGGGAACGGATCCTATCGTGGAGCGGGGCCCAGAGCTTGCCCAGGTGCCCAAGCGTGTGGTCTTCGAGAGGCCCCAGGACCACGAGTTGCTTTTCTGCCAGAGGTTGTCTGAGTATCGGTGTCGACGGTGCAATCGAGTCGCTCGAAGTGCGAGTACCCTCCATACTCTTCGCTCGGGAGCTGATCGGGCGTGTGCTCCCTCGCCTCTGGTCCAGAGCGTTGCCGAGGACTTCTTCCAGCGGAGTTCTGAGGCGTGGCTTAGTGTTTCGGACTCTAGGGTCACGGCTGCCATCGAGGCGGCCGATAGGATTTTGGGGTCCACGTCTGGGCCTCTGGAGGCCTCCTCGGGGCTTGGCGCGGTCCCTCCTCAGCCGCTGGAGCAGGTGAATGCTGCCAGTGGCTCGGCCGACGCTCCCCAACCAGTGCTTGCCGAATTCGCTGAATTGGGGCATGACGTTTTCTGTGTTAATTCCGTTTATTGCTGCCGCAAGTGCGGGGGCAATTTCAACGGGTCCGAGTCCTTCAGGTCCGCCCGCAAGCTGCGGGCGTTGTGCCAAGGGTTTTCGGAGAATCCAAAGACACGGGTGAACCAGCACACGGCGATCGACAGAATCACCCGTGGCTTGGAGCCCCGCCAGCGCGGGGCAGGTGCGGCGCGTTCTGGCCCGAACCCTGCCCCCTAGTGTTGCTCTTTGGACCCTGGGAGGTTTTAGGGTGTGGTTTTCCTGAGGCGCCCCACCCTCTCCCAGGCTTCCGCCTTTCCGCCACCCCTGTGGCTTTCAGGTCTCACACGCGGTTGGTGTTCGTCACTCGGACGCCTCTCCTGCGGCTCGCTCGCTCCTCCTCCTCCTCTTCCTCCTCCTCCTCCTCCCCCCCCCTGTCGTCCGACCCGAGGCGTGTGCGGTGCCCCCCCCCCGGGGGGGGCCAGAGCGGGAAGAGCCGTCCACAAGAGCTCGGGCATCGCAGCCGGGCCCGTGCTCGATCTCGCTCGCTCACGCGTGAGCCACCTCGCTCGTCGTCGAGCTGTGTGTGCTCCTCTTGTCCTCCCGCTGCTGCAGTCGAGACACTGCAAAGAGTGCCGGATTGGGTTCAGGACGTGCGCTGGTCGGAGGACCTGTTCGTGGCCGATGCTCGAAGTGGCCAGATACGGCCCCCTCATTCCTGACTCAGCGTTCCAACTGGTAGCTTGGTGGCTGCAGTCTTTCCTCTCCCCGCCCTCGGCCCGCTCGGTCGTGCCAGGGGTGCTCGTCATCCCTGGCCAGCGCCCCGCATCTCCAGCCCCCAGAGGGCGCGGCACCGCCCATGCCGCACGGGCTCGCGCTCGGCCCAGCTCCGCAGAAGGCTCCTGGTACACCACCGCCGCGCGCCTGGCCAGGGCCGTCCCGCGTCGCGCCCTCGGGTTTCGTCAGTCATCGGTCGGCCTCGGCATGGAGACGGTAGGCCAGCTGCACGCTTTAGGACGTGTTTTGGGCGTTTCGTAACAGGTGTGGAGAAACATATCCATATCCACCACCACCCGAAGTCGCAGGGGGGGGATAGGCTCAGTGGGGAACGTATCGACCCCAACCCCAAATCGCGATTCATCGCCGATTACGTAGGGCCCGCTAGCCCGCCCCGCCCAGGAGTGCGGATTCGTTATCGGGAGCATATCGCCGATCTATCGGCGATGGATCGCCGATTCCAGATCGATGTTTCCCGCCTTCGTTGCCCCTCAGGGTATGATGTGGGTAAATCCGCGCCTTGCAGCGTGGTGGTGTACAGCTGCCCTCTGCGACCCGGCGCGACCATGGCGGACCCAGGCCCCCCGCCGCCGCCGCGCGTGTCGCCGCAGGAGCCGCCGTACGGAGTGGGGAGGCGCCCCGCGTGCCGAGGGAAGCGCCCGGCGGCGGGGCCAAAACCAGCCGTGGGCATGTTTGTCAGGAAGGGGTCGAGGTTGCCGGGGAGCCCGTAGGGGAGTGAGCCTGGCGAAGGATCCAACCACACCAACTACATGCAGCTGCGAGTAGGCAGCGCGCCGCGAGAGGGATGGATCAGTATCGTTGAACCGACCCCCATCCCCATGCCCATCCCCTTCGAGACCCCCACCACATTACCCCCCCCCAGTTGGGGATACACCCCTCGAAACCCGAAGGGAACGGCCTATATCCCCATCTAGGGGGTTAAATCGGCCAGTGGTGCCCAGGCCACGCCGCTGGGGATAGGGATCCGATAAACGACACTCAATGCAGCACGGGGCAACGCGGATGCATGCGGGCGCTGCGACCGGGGGACACATGCGGGGCGTTGCCATTGGGGCCTTCGGCGGAGCTTCCCATGGGCCACGAAACATGTAAAGGGTGTTTCAAAATAGGCAGAAGAAGGCATGCGAACCCTGCCACTGGGGCCTGACGATTGAGTAGATTTCTTGTCAGCACCTGCCAACTCTGACAGCACCGCCTTGCGCTTTGAAGCAGACCCCCCAAAGAACTCTGCCAGAAAACATCCGCACTTCCACTGAATCATCCCAGCGCAATTCAAGGACTTGCCACCATACCTGCCATGTGGACGTGCCAAAATTAACAACTCAACCCCTTCATTGTCCAACATGTTGGTTTGCTTATCCACACCGAGCTCCACTTTCAAAGTCTTCAGCATTGGCGTTCGCAGCTTGGAAGTAAGTGTGTTGCCCGCCACCTGGTCGTTGCGATTGCAGAGCAATGAGCTTAAACGCTTCGTCTTGACTTTGGGATGTTGACCCACATCGGCAACAAATCCCTGTGTGTCCATGAGCTCTAACTCCGAAGACAACACAGCACCAATCGCTCGAGTCCAACGTGCAACGCTTGGCGTGCCCTCGACTCGTGCCGGTCGTCCCCGAAGGGAGTCCCGGCAACGAGCGGGGGTCGTCAGGCGGGAAAGCGACCCCGCCCCAAGTTTGAGCCTCAGCAGTTGCGGAGCCACTCCGTGTCCTCTCTCACTCGCCACGCTGCGCTAATCACGGGAAACCCAGGTGCCACAGTGTGAGTATAGTTGTTTGTTTCCCAGCTTTTGCTCCCGATGGAAGCACGGGAGTGTCGGCCACCCACCCGCTTTACGGCTCTTCGGCCGAATGAAAGTCATAATGGAAAGCAAGGTGCAGCTTGCGGCGTGGTGTCCCGATAGCGAAAGCGACCCGTGCTTGCGACGCGCGTCCTTCCCCTCCCCTTCTTCCTCCCGCCCCTCCCTCCATCCTTAGAACTTCCAGAGATGTCAAACCCCCTTCTAACGCTCTCAGAACGCCTGACATCCTTTCAAACCTCTGAGGAGGAGGCTCCCCCTCCTCCTTCCTCCATCCTCAATCATTATTCTCCCTCCCCCTCCTCACCCTCTCCCCTCTCGCTGTTGAAGCCGCCCCGAAGCTCTCGGGAGCCCCCGAAGACATCCACGAACCGAGGAAATCCGCCTCCACACCCATGCCTCTTCTCTCCTGTTCCTCTTACCTGCGTCGAACCAGGACGCTGTGGGTCTGGGTTCCCCGCTCCTCAAAGTCGCAAAAGTCGACCTGCGGACTTGTCCCCAGGCGCATTCGGGCCAGAATTTCGAGACGGATCCAGCCGTGGCCACGAGGGCGCCCCGAGAGGCCCCAAGAAAGCAAATAGCCGCCCAAAATATTCAACTGACCAGGACGGCGGGGACAACGACGACTACGACGACGAAGACAACGACGACGACGACGACGATGACGTTGAAGACAACGACGACGACGACGACGACGACGACGACGAACACGACGAACACGACGGACACGACGGACGACGACCTTGAGCCGCACATTCGGTGGGCGGGGAACCGCATGCGAACGCATGCGAACCCTGCTCCTGGGGCCCTCGGTGGAGCTCCGAATGGGGCCACGAACCGTGTGAGGGGTGCGCCGAAATGGACGCGCGGTGGGCGGGGAACCGCATGCGAACCCTGCCATTGGGGCCTTCGATGGAGCCCCCAATGGGGCCACGAACCGTGTGAGGGGTGTGCCGAAGTTGACCTGGGGTGGTCGGGGAACCGCATGCGAACCCTGCTGCCGGGGCCCTCGGTGCAGCTCCCTATGGGGCCACGAACCGTGTGAGGGATGTGCCGAAATGGTGGGCAGGGAACCGCATTCGAACCCTGCCACTGGGGCCTTCGGTGGAGACCCCTATGGAGAAGCCTTTGGGAGGAGAGGCACGTATGGGAGATGAGAGAGGCGGAGGCAGCGGGAGGAGGAGGATGAACGCAGGGACCGTCTCTTCAAAGCGAGGACCCAGCACCACAGGATGGTTGGGAACAAAAAAGACATCGGATCTCTGGGTACCCCACGCCTTTTCCCAATCCCCCCTTCTCGTCGGACCCACCTTTTTGCAGACCCTCCACGGCCTGATGGGAGGGCCACAAGCACGAACAGTCTCCAGGGGTCGGGTGTCTTCTTTCTTTCAGTACGGGGTCGTCAAAAGTCCCGACCCAGTCCCAGGCCCGGCTTCTCAGCCTGAGTCGGTTTCTGACGGTCCAGGGTTTGGCGAGGGGCCCCAAAGGACGAAAACGGTGAAAACAAATCCGTCTCGAATTTGGGTGATCCTCTTCGTCCTGTTCTTTCTCGCCCCGAAGGTCCAGTCGATACGATTTGAAATTGATTATGGCCGGCTTTATCCGATTCGATTCCGATATTCCGACGATCCGATCCGGCCCGATGATTAAATGGCGTTGTAGTGCAGCCGATCTGTTTGGATTCTGTCTCCATGCTGATGCAGCCATTTCCGACGCATATTTCGATTCCGTGTCGATATCCCGATTCGACGCTGACTGATTTTGTCCTTTTGTCCTCCTTTTCTGTCTGGCGTCTTCATGTTTCTTAAGTTGTTTCTTCGCATTCCCGCCCTGCATAGTTATAGTCTGCACCAAGATGATAGTTGTTCGAAGTTTTGATATTGTCCCTGCGTTCTGCGAGTTGTCTATCAGACCGGTGTGGTAAGACGCGACGGCGCTGGCTCGCCTACGTCGGGAGCATTAGCAGGATTACGATTGAGGGAAAACGCGCTGGCGGCGCGCGCAAGGGTGTGGCGGCGGGGGGCCAGCCTTCCACGAAGGCGTAGGAGCTTCCAAGAAGCTCGGGGGGCTTCTAAGAGGCCACTGGGCCCTTCAAGGAGGGGGGGGGTATCGAAGGAGGAGAGGCCTTCTCAGAAGCCATCCTGGCTTCCCTGCCAAGAAGCCCCGCTGCCTTCCGAGACGCAGCTCGGGGTGCTGCCAGAGGCGTCCCTGGCCCAGGGTGTCCCCGAGAGGCCCGAGGAGGCCCAGTGTGGCCTTCGGAGCACCCCTCACGGGGCCCCCGGAGCCGCAGGGGCTCCCAAAGGGAGCGAACAGCTGGGGGCATCTTGGGCCCGGACCACTCGCGGCAGCCCGAGGCGCAGTTCTTCCAGGCCGGCCTCCTTGGGCCAACCCTGCCCACGCGGTGGCGCAAGAGTGGCCTGTGGCGCGACCCGAAAGGAGCGCACTGTGATTTGGCCCGCCCTCGCCACTCCAGAGACTGTCAGAAACCGAAGCAGGACCGTCCTCCCGCGGCCTGCACCCCTTCCCCCCCCCCCCCCCATCCCTGGCCGCCGGCCGAGGAGGCGGAGGCGGGGAGCAGCCCCATGGAGGTGCTGCGGCGGACCCTCGCGCAGCCGGTGACCATCACGCCGCCGCCGCCGAGCGTCCCGGAGCAGGAGGCCCGCCCGCGCCTCCTGGGGGCAGACGGCAACGGGAACGGGTGGGGGTGTGCAGCAACCGTGGGGGGATGGGGGAATGCGGGGAAGTGCCCTTTCCAGGGGCACTTACCAGCACCGCCACCGCGGGCCAAAGAGGGGTGCGAAGGCGCACGGGTTTCCTCACCCCGCGTTCGTGGCCTTCCGTTATGGGCCCGCTGGGTTCATACCAGGGGGGTGGCAGGGAGAAAGGGAAGGGAGAGGGGAGGAGGTGGAGAGGGGAGGTTTCAACCTTCTCCCTCCTCCTCCTTCTCCCTCCTCCTCCTTCCTCCTCCTCCTCCTCCTCCTCCTCCTCCTCCTCCTCCTCCTCCTCCTCCTCCTCCTCCTCCCGTGTCGGGGGGGGCGTTATCACTCTGCGGTCCCCAGTCCTGGGCGCGCCTCGCCCTCAGGCGCGCCTCGCTAGCGAGAGGCCGGTGGACCTCGAGATCCGAAGGCGCAGCAGCATCGGGGGCCCTCAAGCGGTGCGGTGACTGCTCCGTGTGGTGGGTAGGTGGGGGTTCGGGGTGGCCACACGGTGTTGTGACTCCAGCCGTTCTCCGAGGATGTCTCGGTCGGGGTCACAACGCTGTGTTGGGACTCGGGCCGTTCTTCGAGGATGTCGTCTCGGGCAATTGGGGCCTCCAAGGTTCCAAAGTGGTGCGGTGACTGGCCGTGCGGTGAGGTCTCGGTCTTGTCGGGCCGGACAGCAGGGAGGGGTTACGAAATCTGCTGCATGCAGCTGGTTTCGGCCCCGCCGCCGTGCCCATTCCTCGATACATGGGCGCCTCTTGGCGCAGGGAGGCGCCTGGAAAATCAGCTACGTGAGCTGATTCTCAACCCCCCCTTTCTGCGTTATCCCCCTCTTTCGCCCGCCCCGATCTTTGGGGGTTCCAAGGTCACGGCACGATCTCCCACAGCATTGCAAAACATGGCCGCAACCACAAGATGTTCCACATATCTTTCAACACGCTCCCTGCCCTGCCCACCCCCCTCGTCCGCGCACACGAGCCATGGAGCGCTAACATCCTTCTCTTTCTTCGGACCCCTGCTTCGGCGCACCGGGTCCCTCCTCCTGGCGTCTGCAGGCCTCTCTGCTGCGAGCAGGCAAATCACGTCGGGAGGTCTTTGCAGATTTTTGTTACCTGTGGGGGGGCCTTAGCCGGGCCCTGTGGGCCGTCGACAGATTATCATGTAGGATGGCAAGGCCGTTCCTGGGGAAGCGACCCAGACCACCAGGGAACCACGCTGTGAAAGAACATGACGTCGGAGGTCTGTTCCTGCATCCTCTCCTCGTCTCCCCCACTCCTGCTCTTCCCTTCTCTGTATCCTCAGTCCTGCTTGCTTGCTTCTTTTACCAGTCGTCCTTCTCCCACCTCCTCCTCCTCCTCCTCCTCCTCCTCCTCCTCCTCCTCCTCCTCCTCCTCTCCCTCTCTCCGGGGGGCTCTCCCGCCTCATCCCCAGACCACGCGGTGACCTCCAGAAAAAGATGGCATGACTTCGAGCGATCCCCACCGAAACCTTACGAATTTGCTCCCGGCGGCGCGCTGTCTCCTAATTGGCCGACAGTTGCCGTGTTTGGATTTAACGGTTTAACCGTGTTCCATGTAGTCACGCTAGTTCATGTTATGTTATCTTATGTCTTGTTCAGTTCTCGACCGGCTGGCGTGACGTCGTGACGCTTGCGACGTTAGATGCGTCGTCTGTTATGTTGTTCGTCGTCATTTTGATGTGTCTCTTCCGATAGCGTATGGTATGGTATGCTCATCTCTGTCACCACGTGTTTCGGATTTGTTGGTGTGCGATGCTCTGTGGCACTATGATATGGCATGACATGGTATGTCAGCTTTTGTTATAGTATGCATGTTCCGTGATGCTATTGACAGTTCGGTTCTGGCATCGAATAGTATGATATGTTATGCTAGTATGTTTCGTTATGATTCGCTTTCGTGTTATGATAGGTTCGGTGGTGTTACGATGATATGATAAGATATGTATGGCATGGTGTGTTACGCTATGCTCGGCTCTAGTATGTTATGTTGTGTTATGTCGTCTTATGGTATGTATTGGTTTGCTATAGAATGTATGTGATAGTATGCTTGTTGAGGTCTCGGCTCACCGTATGATATGTACTGTTGGTATGTGTCGATATCTTATGCTGCCGTGTTATGATATGCTCTGCGATGCTGTGCCATGATTTTAGGTGCTCTGTCTAGGTTTGTCATGTTCTGCTCGGGTATGTTATGTTATGGTGTGCTCTGTCGTCTTCTGCTAGGTCATGCTCTTCTCTTGTATGGTCTGGGGTGTTCGCAATGCCCTATGTTGTCATGGTATTGCTATTGTATGGTTTGTCGTATTCCCCCATGCTCGTTGTATGTCCGGACCTGATATGGCGTGCCATCTTGTGTTCTCGCGTGTTCGTCGTCGCGATGTCCTGCTGTTGTGTTATGATATGTTCGGTGTTGCTATGTCATGGTATGATATATGTTATGACAAGCTGTGTTGTGTTGTACTATGTCCAGCGATTTTATGTTTTTGTTGTCGTCTGATATTGTATGCTATGCTCGTGTATGTTATGTGATGTTATGTGATGCAGTATTATGTCATGGTATTGATATGTTATGTTCTGGCATGTCATCTCATGCTCTGTTGCGGTATGTCATGAGCTGCTCTGCCATGTTGTGTTATGCCGTGTTCGTCGGGTTATGTAATGTTCTGTGTTGGTATGTTCTGTGTTAGTTATGTGATGTTCTGTCATGTTATGGTGTTTTGCTCTGGTATGGTATGTGATGTTATGTCATGCCCTGTGTTGCCATGACATTGCTATGTTATGTCCTGTCATGCTCGTGTTATGTTCTGGCATGGTCTGTTGTGGCATGGCGTTCTCTGTCGTGTTCGTCTCAGTTTTTTTTGTGATGTTGTGATATGTTCGGTTCTTTGTTGTTGTGCCATGATATGGTATGTTATGTTAAGGTTTGTTATGTTAGGCTCGGCGCTGTTCTGCTACGTTGTTATATGTCGTTTCTGTTCTGGCATGGTCTGTTCTAGTATGTTATGGGTTGTTATAATGTGTCATGACATTGGCATGCTCTGTTCTGCCATGTTATGTCATGCTCGTGGTATGTTCTGGCAAAGTATGTTGTGTTATGTCGGTTTCGTCTTCGCTATGCTCGGCTGTCGTGTCATGATCAGTTCTGCGATACTGTGCCATGATATGATACTGTCTGAACATGTGTGTTTTGTTGTGCTCGGCTATGTTACGTTATGTGGTGTTATGTCGTCTTCTGGCATGGCATGCTCTGTCATATTATGTTATACTCTGTTCCGTTCTGTCATGCTCTGTTCTGGCATGTTGTGTTCTGCCGTGTTCATCGAGGGCGCGAGGCGGGATACCCAGGACTCGGGAATCATCGGGGCAACTTGTTGTCTGGCGGCCGCGGCATGCAGGGTGGGGTTGGCTAGGGGGCCTGTTGCAATCTAACAACCCTGACCTGTCGGGTGGGGGCAAAACAAAATAAGCACGGTGGGCCTGCTCACACGACCCTGGTCTCTGATGGGGGTCGGTTCCTTCCTCGCCCTGGGGCCACCAGAAAATGGCCCGCAACAGGCGGGCAGGCATAAAGTGACCCAAAATCGCTCTTAAACCATGACCCTGGGTCACACGGTGCACGAGAGGCGTACGCTCCCTCCCCCCACGTTTGTCGCCCCCCGTTAACAAACTCCCAAGACAAAAGAACAAGCACGGCCCCGTGATAAGGCCGAGAGCATCCAGGGCCAAGACCCGTATCGCGGCCAAGCAGGCATATTTTGAGACGGAGCCCCCACACACTGCGACTTCGGCGGTCTCGCGCGTCGTGGCGGTCAGGCAGAGACCCCCACGCTCACATCGCACACACCCACACACACACACACACTTTTGGCGTCGCGGCCCTGACACACTCACCACCCACCAAACCACCCCAACCCAACCCGAAGGCTCAGATTTACCCTCAGCTTCCAGTGGGGGGGGGTCGGGAAACATCGAAAAAACACATATGGAACCCTTACCCCCCCCAACCCGAAATTCGGGTCTTCGGGTTGGGTTGGGGTGGTCTGGTAGGTAGTCACACACACACACTTTTGGCGTTGAGGAGGAGGAGGAGGAGGAGGAGGAGGAGGAGGAAGAGGAGGAGGAGGAGGAGGAGGAGGAGGCGGAGGCGGAGGCGGAGGCGGAGGAGGAGGAGGAGGAGGAGGAGGAGGAGGCGCCCCAGCTCTGGGCCCTCCCCCCTCCGAGGCCCGCCGCGGTCCGGACGCTCTCGCCGGACGTCGCGGGGAGCCAAGGCCCGTGCCTTGCCCCAGGCCCAGGGGCCCAGGAGATGTGCGCGAGCGCTTCGGTGGCGCCGGGGCCCACTGCGGAGAGGGGAGCGTTACGTCATCCCCCCCCCCTCCCCATAACGCGGGTGATCGCCAGGGATAAACAAAAGCATTCCCCCCGCTTGACATCTTTCTAGGTACGTGGTCGCTCCCCGCGCCTCCAGGCGTCGGGAAGACTTGCTGCACGCGGATAATGTCACAGTCCCCCTCTGTGTTGGACCCCCGATTGTTCCCCCCGACCATTCCTTTCACGCCCCCCTTCGAGGGCTCGCTGGAGTAATTACTGTGATCTCGCGCGCCAGGCAGCGCCGAAGATGCCGAAGCTGGGCAGCGGATTGCCCAGCGTCGGGTTTAGCCATCGGGCCGATCGGGGGGGGGAGGAGGGAGGGATCTGAAGACGCTGCGAGATGATGACAGCAGCTGATACTTCGCCGAGAGCTTGACAGCACGCTTGACCGACGCAACAAGGCAGGGCCGACCGCGTGGACATTAACGCCCAAGCTCCCGCGTAAGATCTCGCGCAAGGGCTCCTCTCCTCGTGGCAGGCTGCGTTGTCGGTCAGCATAGACCATCGCGTAAGGTAGCGGTGTCCTCGTGCATTAGACCCCTATCAGCGTCGCCGATTGGCCGCCATGCCATACTGCACAACGTCTTTCGGCAGTCGGCTGCCCCCCGTTGGCCTGGCCCGCCTGCCGGAGGTCCCCTTGGAGGAGGTGGCCGACACCATGGAGTTCCAGGTTGTCTTGGACAGGAGTAGTACGGAGCAAAAGTTCGGCATCCAGGTGCGTTGCCGCGCCTATCCGCCGCCTCGCGTTTTGGCATGAGCTAGGAAGCTTCTTTGACAGCGGCATGACAATTCATGGCTTTCCAGGTTGAGAGCAGATTTCAGAGAACATTAGCTCAGGGGGGCCGCATCGACCAGGGCTGGACCTAAACGCTGGTTTGCTGGATTTCGATTGTGTTTTGTTTTTCTTGTCGGGGGGGAGGTACAGGAAAACAGGTAGAGCAAACCGGACAATAAAACGAACAACAGCGTTTAGGTCCAGCCCTGGCATCGGCCCCGAATCGCCCATTCACCTCTGATAGGGGCCCGCTGGTCCGCCCCGCCCAGAAGCGTGCGGATTCGCTATCGGGGGGGCAATAGCCGATCTATCGGTGATGTATTGCCGATTCCAGCTTGATGTTTCCCCTCCCCGATCTGGTCCCTCCCTTGTGTTGGCCATTAATATTCACCGAAGCGGCACGTAGGGATGTGCAATGCGCGAAAGACAAGAACACATGCACGCCATGCATGTTGATGGGACGAGCAAAAAGTCACGTTAAGGATGCGTTCCCAGTTTTCCAACTTGTTCAGGCTTCCTAAGAAGGTCTAACGATCCGCACTTTGTGGAAACGTGCGGAAGCAGTGACCCTAAATGAGTGGCAGGCGTAGCCGATCATTGAATTGCAAAGGCAGGCGGTGCAGGAGGGAAACAGCTGAAAGGGAGACACACACACACACACACACACACTCCAGTCGCGGCAAGTACGCTGGCAGATCACCTACAAGCTCGACGCCGACACGAGGCATCTCGTGGTGCAGTCCCTGAAGCCTACGGGCGTCTGTGCACACCACAACTGGGAGATGCGCCACTTCCCGCGCGAGTGCGCCCTCTTCCAGCAGCAAGTCGCCCCGGGGGACGAGGTCGTAAAGGTGAACGGCTCCCAGGACCCGGACGAGTTCTCTGGATCTTTCTCGGATGTTTCCAGATTTCTCGGGATGCTTGTGCAGGCCTACGAAGCCCTCCCGAGGTCTCTGGGCATTTCCAGAGCTCTCTGGAGGTCCGTGGAGGTCTCTGGAGACCTCATCCCTTCAGGCTGAATCCAAAGCGCTCTGGACGCCAGCGGAGGCCTCGGGAGGTCCTCGCGGAGCTTTCGTCCCAAAGAGATGCTCCAAGACCTCGATCCGATACCCCTCTCGAGATGGGGTGGTCCGAGGAGGTGAATCGAAACATCTCGCCGCGTCGCCGATGTATCGGCGGCGATGCGGCTGGATATGGAGCCCGATTTTCTTCATTGCGTCGCCGCCTGCCCATCGCCGATGAGTCGGCGATGCGGCGCGGTTCTCTGACACCATCTACTCGGACCCCACCCCTCCTGCATATCCGACTGTGAGTGTTGCAATCCACGGACCGCAGGAGTCTCGACCCTTCCCGGGGGATACTTTCCCATGCCGGATTGAAGGGTTTTGAGCGGACTCGGGCCGTTGTTTCGCGGAGTCCATAGCGGGCATCGGTTACCAATCGATAACCTGCTGTGGACTCGACGCCAATCGACGATTGGCATCAGCACCGTCGGAGCGTGCCCGCTGGGGCTTCAGAGCGACCCCTGGAAGCCGATACAAGGAGAAGTACCAGGATTTCAGTGGAGCAAGAGATCATGATAATGGTACGTTCTGAGATGTTCTGGGTTCCCTAGATTTCCTGATATTTCGCACGGGCTGTATTAACGATGGCCGCTGGACATACTCTGTGAACTCCTGGAACGTATCGAGAGCCAATCCAATCATGACATCGCCGTCCCCGTCTTAGAACAAACTCAATCCCATTGACATCTGGGTCTGGGCGGCTTGCAGGCTCTCTTCCGAGAGATTTCACAGGAGGCTTCCAGGAGGTCTTCCGAAGAGGTCCCTCTCGGAGGCCCGAAGAGGCCCCGAGACGCTCCAGAACCTCAGGGCCTCGCTCACAGGAGCCCGAGGAGATGAAGTCGCACCTGCACGGCAGGAGGAGGATGAGGAGGAGGAACAGTACGAGGAGGAGGAGGAGGAGGAGGAGGAGGAGGGGGAGGAGGAGGAGGGCTGGAGAATGAGAACCTCCCAGGGCCCCGCGGAGATGACGTCGCACAGGAATTCCGGAGGCCTCCAAGGCCACAGAGATCCCCGGAGCCTGTATCTAAAGACACTCAAGAACCTCCGGCTCGTCGCTCCCCGGGCGGCGCGCTTCAGGCATGGGCCCCAAGACCTCCCGACCCTTTCACGTGGACAGTGTTCATCCCGAGATGTTTCTGTTGACAGTGCCGGGGGCCAGAAGCCGGCCTCCAGAGAACCAAAATAGTGAAGCCACACCAGCCGCCTCGGTTGTGTTCGAGCCACCGGATCTTTGGGCCCCAGGGCCCCGAGGAGATGAAGACGCACCTGCTCGCCCCCATCCCACCCAGCCCTCCCGCTGGAACAGACGCTCCAGCCGTGCACCGGCCAAGAACTGCAGCAACCATCGCCGCTCCCACTCTGACATCCGCCGAGATGATTTGTTTCAATCTGAGGCCCCAGAGGTCCCGACCGCTTCCCTGGGGGCATCTGCTCGCCCCGGATCCATTCTTGATGGCACCGAGGCCCGATAGCGGCCCCCAGAGGCGCATGTCGGAGGAAAAAACCCAGCAATGCAAGCAATCATGTCGTCGGATATCTGGGATCGCCGCGCCCATGCGCCGCAGGACCCCGCGAGATGAAGGCGTACCTGCTCGCCCATAACAATCAATACCCGATTGGGACCCGATAGCCCCCCCGTCTGGGAACGTGCGGATTCGCTATCGGCAACGTATCGCCGATCTATCCGCGATGTTTCGCCGATTCCAGATCGACGTCTCCCCTCTTGAGCCAGACTGAGAATGTTCCCCCCTCAATACGCCCCAGTCGGAGGAAGGAGAGGCGACACCACCACCAGGGGGCCACCTCCAGTAAGGGGGACCGCTGATGCCTCCCCGAGCTGGGGATGAAGGATGTCTCGAGCTAATCAGAGGAGGGGACCACACCACCTGGAGGACACCCCCTGGCTCCTCGCGCAAGTGGTGGTGGTGCCGGTCTTCTTTTTCTGCTTCCTATACCCTTCCCCGAAGACACCCAGAAGCCCTCCGCGGTGACTCCTCCGCGCCGCGAGCACTTCACCCGGGGGCCGGCAGCCACCGCCGCGCCCCTGCCCCCCAGAGGACCCCGAGGAGATGAAGGCCCACCTCCTCGCCTCCCCAACATGGGGATCGCAGCTACTTGACATGATCTTCTTCTTTTCTTGGGTATCGGAAGTCCTGGGGCCCCCAGGACCCCGAGGAGATGAAGGCCCACCTCCTCGCCTCCAACAACGTGCACCTGCACGTGCTGCGGCCCTCCGCTGGTCGGCAGGCGGCCCGCGACGCCATCCGGGCCGAGCGCGAGCGGCAGGCCGGGCAGCTGCCGGGGCCGCCGGCGCCCCTGGGCGCGCCGGCGCCGGGCGCGCCGGCTCCGCGGGCGCCGCCCGGATCGACGCTGCGCTGAAAAAGGGCGTCTGCACCAAGACTGGGCTCCTCCTCCCTCCTCCTCCCCCTCCTCCTCCTCCTCCTCCTCCATCCTCCTCCTCCTGCTCCTCCTCCTCCTCCTCCTCCTCCTCCTCCTCCTCCTCCTGCTCCTCCTTCTCCTCCTCCTCCTCCTCCTCCTCCTCCTCCTCCTCCCCTCCTCCTCGTCCTCCTCCTCCTTCTTCTCACCCTCCTCCCCCTCCCCCTCCACCTGGACGGGGAGGGGGGAAGGTCTTAGAGAAAATGGGCCCGTCCAGGCAGGCAACTTCCGCCTCGAGACGAGTCCCTGTGGCGGTCCCTTCGCTTGGACCCCGAGCCAATTCGAGTTTCCCGTTGGATTTCCGGCAAGCCTTTGCACCCCACGCATGTGCTGTAGCGCAAGTCATCTTTTTTCTTTCGTGGCGAGTGCGGGTCCTTGTCCTGCCGTCACGCACGGACCGCATGCTGTAACCAAGGCGCAGTTGGGAGTTTTGCAAAGGATTTGTAAAGGCCTTCCGACGAAGACCGCCGCATCTTGGGCTGATGCATCAATATTCTGTCCTAGCGGCCAGTCCCTGGCAGGTGTTCTGCCCTTCGAGCTTGGGTGTTAGCGGTGTATTGCAAAACCCTCCTCCACTTTCTCCCCCTCCTCTACCCAGACCTCCAACGATTTAAACAATGCAGTGCGGAGGTGTTCGTTCTTTTCGTCACCAGGGCCGTCGAACAACGACTTTCGGGGGTGCCGTATCAAAAAGACATACAGGGAAGCTCTGAGGAATGCACCCATAGCTAATTGACGGGCTTGAAGGTTGCAGACATCTGCCGGTCCCGGCACGTGCAGGACAGGCTTGGGCGGGAAGAGGAGCAGCAGCAGCAGCAGCAGCAGCAGCAGCAGCAGCAGCAGCGACGAGGGTAAGATCAGGGATGTGGGGCATTGTGTTGTCGCTTTCTCTTGCTTCTCCGTTGTGTTGCGCGCCAGCGGGCGCGGGTGGACCAGGCGGAGTCGTCTCCAGCGCCTTTCAGTCAGTCAGGAGCAGCAGCGGGGGAAAGAGGAGGGACGGATGAGGGAGGGAGGGCGAGGATGAGAGGGAAGGCATGTAGGGCAGGATCAGTAGCAGATTCCGGGCTTCGAGCCCAGTGGTCGGTGACAGTTGCCAGCACCCGTGCGCGCGCAGGTAGTTTTTAGGATCAGGCAGGGAGCTGCGCCGCATGCCGCTGTTCCCTGCCCCCCCGCGCGGATAGCAAACTCGGCCGCCGAAGGCGTGGGCGGCGCCGGGTCTTCAGAGGGCAGGGAGGACCCAGCTCTTCGGGCGACGCCGACATCACAGACGGCACGCCAGCCCTGACCGTGGCGATCTTGCGCCTCGGGGACTGGCACCGGGTGTCAACGGTGGTCACCCCCCCAGGGCTCGTTCCGGCTCCTCCGGTTCGATTCGTTCCGATTTCCGTGGCCTCGAATTCCGATTCGATACGGCTTCGGATTCTGTTGCGGGCTCCAGTTCATCAATGGAGCCTACCAGCCTTCCGATTTCCGCCGATTTGATTGCGCTCGACACGGCCGCAGGCATCCGCCGATCAAGTTCATTCCGATCGCCGATTCAACTCCTCGATCCGATTATGGGCTTGCCTGACCCCTCGGGCCAGGCCAAGCGCGGGCGTGTGCACGGACTCGGCCGCGCGCAGAGTGGATTCGGGTATGGCCAGGGCCCCAGGTAAGGGGACCCAGTTAGTGGTAGGGCCCCGGAGCCCCTAAATTGGCCAGAATCACGAAACCAGGTCTGCCGTAGCTGGTGTTTCTCGGGTGACGGCAGCTCCGGTCAGTGGAGCGGGGCGGGGGGGGGGGCGTCCCCCAGTACACAGCATTGAACCAGGTCCCACGAATCCCAGTTCTGCCAGCGCCCGGAGTGTGCGCGAGGGCGGCGGCCTTCTCAGAGCGTGAATTACCTACCCCGCTTTCGCTTCCAAGCAAAACCAAGCCATACCACGCGCCTCCTCGTCCAGCGGCGAGAGCAGTGCAGGCTGCATTGTTTTGTGGTATCTCTTGGAAGCGAGGGTGGTCAAAAGCGAGGTACACCTTTGGCGATGCTTAAGAAAACTTAAGTTTTCGGCCAGAGTCTCGATTATTCTTAACGTTTCAATCTAAGTCTTAAGATTTTAGTAGAAGAGTTGGATGTTTGTTCAAGTTCTGAGACTATGAATTTCTGAACCCATGATTTCTTAAGCATTTCGCAGGGTGTAGGTTTGTTTTCCCCCTGTTCTCAGAAGGCAGGGCGGTCAGTTCTTGGGCAGATGGCCGCCCCCGTGCCTCGGGAGGGCAAGTCGGGGGTGGACAGAACCCCCAACAGTGACACGTCGATTAGTGAATTGTCCGTTTTCGGTTCTCGAGAGGGCGCCGTGGCCGTTATTTTCCAGGCTTGCGCCCGCCAGATTTGGGCCCGAGGTCGTTTTCACTAAACCACGTTTTACTTTTGATGGGCCTGTTTTCCACCACCACCACCACCACCATAAGTTGGAGGGGGGAAGGAGGAGGGGGAGGAGGAGGAGGAGGAGGAGGAGGAGGAGGAGGAGGAGGAGGAGGGGGGAGGAGGAGGAGAGGAGGAGGAGGGAGGAGGAGGAGGAGGAGGGGGAGGAGGGAGGAGGAGGAGGAGGAGGAGGAGGGGGAGGAGGAGGAGGAGGAGGACCCCCTCCCCCTCCTTAATTAAGGTGGTGGTGGTGGGAAACAAGCCCACCAGATCTGTCCGAAGGCACGGTGGCTCCTCGACAGTAACACGATGATGGATTCCCCACAGCGGCGTGTCACTGGTACTGCTTCTGCTTCACTAGCTAATGCTGGAGGAAGGCTCTAGCGATCAAGGCATGGATCGAGATCTGTTCCGTGGTACGACGAGGCTGGTCGACACGGGTAGAGACGGAGTGCTCACGTCCGATCAGTGGTACGGCGCCGTCGACAGCGAAGGTCGGGCCACGCAATCAAGCAGTCTTGTCACAGCGAGCGCATCGCCGCCCTGCCCAGCAAACACTCCGAGCCACCAAACACCGCCCCGCCCGCCCCACCTACCCCGGCCTTATAAGGAGCCTTCTTACACCAGGCAGGCAGAGGATGATGGTAGATCGCTCCAGGGTGTTCCGCAACGCTCTCAGAGCGTCCCAGCATGCTCAGGACCGGCCGTGGCGTTACATCTTCCAGGCCCGCCAACTCTCAGATATTCCCGATGTATCATCATCCGAACATGTCCTCATGCTGCCTGTGCATCCTACCTTTTGCAGCGGCTCCTGCCTTCTTGGAACAGCTTTTGTTCTTAGAGGCCTCCTGCCCTTCTTAGAAGCCTCCTGCCTCGCTGAGAGGTGTTCACCCCGCGTGCTTCCTCAGAAAAGCCCCTGCTGAGACTTCGGACAGGTCCTCGAACCCACCAGTCCATGATGGTTTTGCCAGTGGTGACGATGAGGACAATATCGGTGATGATTATGATGATAGTGATTATGGTGATGGTGACGATGATGTGGACGCGGATTCTTGTTGGTGCTCGCGTTGCGGGATCTTGCGTCTGCGTTGTCAGCTAAGGGTTTCACGAATGTCGCGTACGGAGTCCCGCACAATTGAGTTGGAGGGGGCGAGTACCACGTGTGCCAGTCCTTTGTTGCTCAGGGCCCTTCCAATATCTTGTTTCAAGTCGGCGTTTCATTCGAAACATCCCCCGTAAACATTATTTCGGACGGGTCGTCGAAACCATCAGTTCATAGTGGAGATGTTGGTGGTGATGATTCTGGTGGTGATGACGATAATGGTCAGCTCCTGGGCGGATGCCGTCAGCACCACTACTCCGCCCTGCCGATGTCGAGACCAGCGCGGGCCTCGTGGGTCGTCTGGCGGTTTTGGATGTTGGCGTGTGCAGCAGCCCAGAGGCATAAGGCGCTGGCGAGGACTGCTGCGACGCGGCGCATGCCTGAAAACTCGACGGCCACCGCGGCCACTTCGTGAAACTGGCGGCGGCGGGCACCACGTACGTGCCCAACGTGTGGTCCGGATACGGCCGCGCCAGGCGACACTGCGGACGCTGGCGTTGCGGGCTGCGCTGCGCCGTGGGCTGGGCTGCCAGTGGGCGCTGCAGCGCTGGACCGCGGCGGCCATTGGCGTGGCCATCTGGCGCCTGGCAACGGCCATGGTCCACGCAGGCTCCTCCCAGTTGTCCTCAGAGGAGGGAGCGCCTCCTCAGCGAGGTGACGCCGTCCTGGGCGCGGGCTTGAGGCCGGCACAGAGATCAATGCTATTTTTTGGGGGGGACGCAACGACGATGACGATGATGTTGACGTTGATGTCCTGGATGATTTCGTTGAGGGGTCTTACGTTGGCGTCTTCATCTGAGGGTTCCGCTCGTGTCGCGCACTCTTACAGTGAACGCGTCTCATGCCACAGGTCGCTGTCCCTTCTTGCTCAGGACACGCTCCATAGGTTGCGTGCCAATCAATCCAGGCAGCGTCGCGTACCACAGGTCGCGCGTGGCCGTTGGAGGTTAATCGTTCAGACTTTCGTGTTGTACGTCGTTGGAACTCGATGGTGGCGTGGCGCTTTGAACACCAGAGCCGCCGCTGGAACTGAACATTTACGATTGACGTGGCGTCTTCAACCAGCATGGCCGTTGGAGTTTAATCGTTTGAATATTCGAGGCATTAGTCGCTGGAGCTCGATGGTGGCGTGGCACTTTAAATTGGCGTTGCTGCGTGAACTGGACCGTTCCCATCCACGTGGCGTTTTTTTATCGGCGTTGCCGTTGGCGCTTCGTTGTTTAAGTCTCGCGTCGTGCGTCGTTGGGCTTCGATGGCGGCACGGCGTTTTTCATTGGTCCCGCCGTTAGATCCGAACCGTCGTGTGTTTTGGTTGTTGAAGATTCGTCGTTGGATTTGTTGTGTCGAGAATCGTGCGAAGTCGACGGTGCGTGGTGTTGTTAATCGGCGCCCAAATTCCAAACGCACAAGTGCGTTCTGCTCAAGCCGCGGTCGGGGGGGAGATCTCGGGAGAGTCCCCATACGCGGTGGTTCTGGGCAAGAGTATTGGGTTTGCTTCGTGGGCAACGATATAGGGGTTCAGCGTGCCAGTGTGTCTTGCGCAGGCCGCGCTCAGAGGGAAAACTTTTGGGGGGGACTTTGCACCGAGTGGTTAGGTGGCAAGCGTATTTGGGTTTGCTGTGTAGGCTACGATGCGAGGGTCAAGCGTACTGGTATGCTTGCGCAGGGCGCGCTCGGAAACAACATTTCCAGGATTTGCTTCGCACGTTTGAAAAGCAAGCGTTTCGCCGGATCCTCCTCACAGTATCTAGATGTGGGAGACGATCGGTTCAGACGCATTATGCTAAAAGGAGCATTTTGCTTCAGACATCTTCAAGAAGTGGGGATGATAAGATCGCTGACATAATTTCCGGATCTTCCAAAAAATGCGTTGTCGTCTGAGGCATCCTCCCAACATGAAATATTCGAAAAATTGTTTTACGACCCCGCGTGCTAATCATGAATTTTTCGATCGAGACATCGTCATCACATAAAGATGCTTAAATAGCTGGCGGGACCTTCGGATCTCAATCTCCGGAAATGTCGCCCACGCCAGAGACATCTTCAAACACATTGAATTCCCCGATAGGTGTTGTACGACATCATTTCGGGGCGTTGTTGGAGGACCCCCAAGAGGGTCCAAGAAGCGAAACCATTGAAACACCATTGGTGTTGCAATACGATTGGTTTAATGTAAGCGTCTCGCTAGAGACATCCTCAAACAAGGTCTTCGTACGGGTCTTCGAGAATAATCCGAATATGATGAAGATGCGAGTGATGGCGTTGAATATGATGATGACGATGAGTATGATGATCCTGACGGTATCGATGCTGATGGTGATGCCGTCAATGATGCCGAGGTTGATGTTTGCGTCGATGCGGTTAGTGGTGATTGTGATGTTGAGCGTTGAATATGATGATGACGATGATTATGATGATCCTGACGGTATCGATGCTGATGGTGATGCCGTCAATGATGCCGAGGTTGATGTTTGCGTTGATGCGGTTGGTGGTGATTGTGATGTTGATGATGTTGTTGGTTTTGGTGATGCTGTTCGTGTTGGTGGTATGGTTGGTAATGGTAATGATGGTGTGATGGTGGTGTCGGTAATGATGATGGTGGTGGTAATGCGGTAATGATGATCAAAATGATGAACGTGAGGGCGGCAAAGGAGGGAAACAGGGATAATACAGTAATACAGAAGAGCGGGGAGGAAAACCGGGAATAGGTTTGTGAACGTTCGGGGGGCGCGCGCCCATAGGCATCCCCACGTGGACATTCGGATAGCTCGCCCACGTTACAGTTGATCGTGATACTGCGGCACGTTCTTGCACAGCTCTTTGAATTCAGTCGTTTCCCATTCACGTCAGGCGAGGTTTCAAAATAGTGTCCGCTGCAGCGTGGGCTCGGCGCTTTGCTCCCATTGTTCGAAATGGCGCTCCCGCCCCAGCGCGGGTAATTTTTCTGGATCCGAGTTGTTTTCATCGCTGTTGACCTCATTTCCTTTCTTCCGCCTTCCTTGGTTCTCCTGTTCCTTGTGCCCTTTCCGCTCTAACTCCAGCTGCTGCGGTTCGTCCTCGTCCTCCATCATCATCGTCCTCCTGCACCTCAGTTCCATCCTCCTGCTAATCTGCCACTTCTTCCTCCAATGTATGCAGCTCCTTTTTGTCCGATTGTGCGTAACACGATGGGGTCCGATTTGGAATGCCAAGTCCGCCATGGCACGCGTCGGCGGCCAGAGATAAGTAGCGCAACGGGAAGGGATGCGTGGGAAGGGTAGGATGTCAGATATCACGCCGGCGCACCTGGCTTGCCCCTGCCCCCCCCCCGCTGCCCGATCTCCTTGCCCCTCGCCTCCCCCCCACCTCGGCGTCGCTCGGGCGTGGGCATGTTGTCCTCGGCAAATACCCTCGAGGAGCACCCGGGACCATCTTGCCGGCAACTGCGCGCACGACCCCGAAGACTACGCGGGGAGTGGCCTCCCGAGCGATGGCGAGCCCATCGACGCGACCCCCCCCGCTGGCGGCAGGCGGCCGGGCGCGGCGCCCTCTTCCCTGCCAGCAGGCCGCCGGCCACCATGGGCAACCGGTCTGGCTGCTGCGGGCCCGACAGGCCCCCGGGGGCCCCCACGTGGCCGCCGCCGCCGCCGCCACCGTCGTGCACCGGGGCGCGCCGCGCCGCCCTCCAAAGCTCCAGCGCAATGGGAGGCTTTGTCTCCGCCTCGTGCTCCTTCCCTCCTCCTCCTCCTCCTCCTCCTCCTCCTCCTCCTCCTCCTCCTCCTCCTCCTCCTCCTCCTCCTCCTCCTCCACAGCGTTGGGGGGTGATGGGCTCAGGGGTGAGATCTAGGCCTCCTAGATGGGGTCCGAGTGGATGGGGTCGGAGGATCGCGCCGCATCGCCGATGCATCGGCGATGCGGCTCGATGTGAAGCCCGATTTTCTCCACGCCGACGGCGCCGATGCATCGCCGACGTCGCCAATGCATCGCTGGTGCATCGCCGATGCATCGGCAATGCATCGTCGATGCATCGTCGATGTATCGGCGATTCGGCGCGATCCTCCGACCCCCTCTGCTCCCACCCCATCTATGAGGCCTCCAGGAGAAGCATCGACACCTGATCGCCCATTGATTGCCGATCAGGGGGCCCTATGGGCCACCCAGCCCGGGACAGTGTGGATTCGCTATTTGGGGCCTATCGGCGATCTATCGGCGATGCATCGCCGATTCAAGGTCGATGTTCCTCCCCCCCTGGGCGGGCCCCTCTATCGTTCACCCTCACCCAGGCCTCCAGCGCAATCGGAGATGTTGTGCCATTTCCTGCATCTGGGGGCAGTTCGGAGACTTCGGTGCTTTTGCCCTGGTCCGTCTTCGGGGGCCCTTGCGGGATGTCAGGACTCGGCTCGGGATGAATGGCCGGTCCTGGGGAACGGACCCTGGGGGGGCCCGCGTTGCAAAACACATCGTGTCGTCGGAGGTCTGAGCTCCTGGAGGGCGGCACAAGCGAAACGGGGAAGAGTCGGGACGATGACCAGCGGGGAATGACGTTAGACAGTGTCGGGGGAGCGTAAGACCCGGGTTTGCCGGGACTCGGGTTTGCCATCGTTTTTTGACGACCGCGATTCGGATTTTGACGAGGAGGAGTTTTGTGAAATGTCTGCAGCGGGAGACCTCGTCAAAATGCAGGCTCGGCCTCGTCATTTTTTTGACGACCTCGTCGGGGATTTCCGAGTCCCCCGTACCCGGGTCTTACGTCTCCCCGACAGTGGGGTCTACAGCGCCGGCGTTCGCGCGCAGACTCCCCGCGCAAGCTCGGGCGTGAGGCGCCATCTTCTCCACGCGGCGTGCCGCGTCGGGGGCCCGCGCGGCGTAAGCCGTGGCCGTTGTCCGCGGTTCGGTCGGTTCGGCTGCGTCGCGATCGGGTGCGTTCAGTCGATTCGCTTCGATCGGTGGCCGTGTCGATTCTGCGTGGGGTTGCGTCCCGCAGGTGTGGGTATCGTCGTCTGGTCGGCCTGTTCTTTCTGTTGCACTGTCGCCGTGGACGGCCTCGGGGACGGAGACCTGCAGCAGCCCTCGTCCATTCAGGAGGGGACTGTCGGTGTCGCCACGGGCGTTTTCCACAAGTGACAGGCGTCGCTTGCCCAGCAGCGCGACCGCGTTCTGTTTTGCACAGTGTGCGTTGATGGGCTCGTGCAGCGGGGTCGCGCATCCAGATGCTGGATGCCTTTCGCCGGGGTACCTCGGGTATCTTCGCTCCGCGCGCTGCGCGGTGACTTCCGTGGCCGTGACAAAGGCTGGTGCGTCCATGGCGCTCCGAGCGTCCCCCCCCCCGTGGCACCCCGCGGGCGGATTTCCAGGGCTGGGCTTCTGGCCAGGGTGGCCCGTGGCCGCGCCCGCACTGCACCCGGTGCTCCCGCACGCGCTCCGGGAGTGCCCAGCGGGGGGCGGCAGGGGAGGGCCTCCCGCGAGGGCCGTTGGGGGCCGCGCCCGCGCTGCACTTCGTTTCTCCTCCTCCTCCTCCTCCTCCTCCTCCTCCTCCTCCTCCTCCTCCTCCTCCAGTACCATTTTGGCTCACGCGCGCTCGCTGCTGGCCCCGCCGCCGACGCGCCGACGCCTGGTACGGCGATGGCTGCCCGCGCGGCACCGCTCGAGGGCGCGCGCGGCGCGCTCCTCGCGGTCCACGCCGCCGCTGGGCTGGCGGCCCGCGCCCCCGCAGGCGGCCGCGACGCGGTGCGCCTGCTGCGCGCGGCTGAGGGCCTACTCCGCACGGCCGTGGCCGTGCTGGCGGCGCCGCCGCCTGCTCCCGCCCCGCCTGCTGAGGCGGCCGCGCCACCCGCCGCCCCGCGGCGGCGGCGCCGCCCGCGCGGACGAGGCCGAGGAGCAGCCGCGGACATGGCGCCGCTCGACATGGAGGTGGTCGACGACGGGGGCGGGGCGGCGGAGGGTGCCGTGCGGGGCGCTGCGGCTCCCGATCCATCGCCCGTGCCGATGCTGGAGGACGACAGCTGGGCTGATGCTCTGCCGTTGGTGCAGCGGAGCCGCCCGCCATCCAGCGCGGCCTCGCGCGAGGGCAAGGGCAAGAACACGGGCAAGGGCGGCGAGCACAATGACAAGAGCTGGCACGCTGGATTGGAGATCTGGCAGCTTCGGAATCTCGTCCGCCGCCTGGCGACGCGCGCGAGGCTCCCCAAGGTGCCCGAGATCCCGTTCGACCGCGACGAGCTGATCGCAATGGCCAGCAACTTCGAGGAGATGCTGACCGCGTACGACGGCCCCCGCGCAGGTCGCGGCTCGGGCACGTGACAAGCGAGCTGGGCGTCGACATCGGTAAGCCCGTCGCGCTCGGCCTCGCGGCCGGGGGCCCTAGGCAGCCGCACGGCGCAGGGCCCCCGTTCAGGGGAAAGCCGTCGACTGCATGCAGTTCACGGTCGGGGGGTCTGGCTCCTCAGGTGGAGACCAGGCCCCCCGCGGCGGGAGGCGGGGAACACGCGCTCTCCTGAGACTCGGGGATCCTCCTCCTCCTCCTCCTCCTCCTCCTCCGCCCTCTCCTCCTCCTCCTCCTCCTCCTCCTCCTCCTCGTCCTCCTTCCTCCTCCTCCTCCTCCTCCTCCTCCTCCTCTTCTTCCTCCTCCTCCTCTTTTTCCACCTCCTCCTGCACGCTTCGGGCGCGCCAGTGGAGAGCACCGGGGGGAGGGCAGGAGGAGCTGGTTCGGCAGGGCCCCAGCTGGCCAGCGTCGAGCTCCCCCGGGCGTCTGTGCAGCTCGCGTGCGAGCTGGGGCGCGGGAGCGTCCGGCAGGGCCTCGGGACACAGCCTGGCATCACCTCGTGGTCTCTGCCCCAGGTCGGAGGGCAGGGGGGGGAGAGAGGAGAGGGGTGGAGGGGAGGCAGGTCCGGGGCAGGGAGGGAGAGGATCGAGGGTCAAGCGTCCCTCCACCCGACATTGGGGTTGTTAGATTTGGTTCCCGATCCGCCCCGCATCGCGGCCGCCAGGCCCGGAGAGTGCCGGTGCTCCCTGGGTATCCTGCCTCGTGCCGTCTACGAAGATTGTGTTTTTGTTTGTCGTTTTGCCGTGGGCCTGCATGAACGCACCATGGGAATGTGTAGTTTTGATACATGACTTCACAAGCGTGGCGGAACGAGCTCAGCGCGACAGTGAAGCAGCCACCCGCGTTGTTTCAATGATCGTGGCACGTGCGTTGTAGCACGTTGCCGATTACCATCAGCTGCGCCTTGAATGGCCTCTTCTTCGGGCACGATGGCTTGACCGCAGTCTGGGCTTCCACATGTGTATCCCGTGGGTGGCTTGCGATCACTCCAAACGCGAATCCAGCCATGTAGACTTCAGTTTGTTGGAAGTGTGCTTTCCACCCGCAGTCGCTGGAGAGAGGGAATGGGAGGGGAGCAGAGCGAAGGGTGAGGGGAGACGATCGGATATAGCCAGGACCCCTGGTACGGGAAGCCAGTCAGTGATTAGGCCCCGAGGCCCCAAGAATTAACCAGAATCATGAACCAAGTCTAGTTGGTGTTTCTGTCACCACCCACCACCCACCAAACCACCCCAACCCAACCGGAAGGCCCCAATTTGACCTCCATTCCCAGTGGGGGGCGCGTCGGGGAAGATTGAAAAGCCACATGTGGAACGCGTGAACCGCCCCAACCCGAAATTTGGGTCTGCGGGTTAGGTTGGGGTGGTCTGCTAGGAAGTCATTCTTCGGGTGACGGGCAGTTCCGGCTCGTGGACCAGAGTGGGGGGGAGGGGCATTGGGCCGCCAGCGCCCGAGAAGAGGGGGATGGGGGGGCTCCTCGTTCTCCTCCTCGATCTTGCTCCTCCTTCTCCTCCACATCCTCCTCCTCGTCCTTCTCGTCCTCCGCCTCCCCCTCCTCCTCGTCCTCCTTCTCGTCCTCCCCCTCCCCCCCCTCCTCCCCCTCCTCCTCTTCCTCCTCTTCTTCCTCTTCCTCGCAGAGGGAAGGGGCAGGGGAGAAGAGGGGTTGGATTTGCCCTGCCCTTGGTTCCCCCACTTCTCTCCTGGTCTGCTTCGAGCTTGCTCGTTGCAGACCTTGATCGTGAGATCGTGAAATCCTGCGGGGTTGCACCATCAGCAGGTGGCGGAATGGGCTGCGCAACCGGTGGCACTGCAGGCCGCGCCACAGGCTGCGCCACTGGCTGCACCATGGGTTGAATTGGAGGTGGCGCCAGTTGATGCCTAGGTCACCCCCAGAGGCGCGAAGATAATCGCGCCTCGCGCGCATCGTGACTTGGATTTCTCCAGGGCGGCGGCGTGATTGCGCGACGATGACCGCGCATCGCGGGATGCGCGAAGTCAGGGGGCCTAGTTTGCGAAATGGGTTGAGCCACAAATTGCGTCGTGGGAGGCTGCGCTGTGGTCTGGGCTGCCCCACTGTTTGCGCCACATGACGCCGAAGCCACAAGGCGGCCTGCCACTGGTTGCGCCAGACGCCGCCGGGACCTCAGACGGCCTGCATGCGGGCCCGACCGAATCAGTGCGCTACATGTTGATGACTGCCACTCAGAAGCATGAGGGCCACACCTGAGAAAACAAAGACCATCAGGGATGATGATGATGAGGAGGAGGAGGAGGAGAAGGAGGAGGAAGAACCGGAGGATCAGCCTTTCCTTTTTCAGATGCGCCCGCCAGGCTTAATTAGTTTGTTCTCTGCCTAAGTCGGCACACTGCAATTGTTTGCCACTCAGAACGCAATGTTCTCTGATCCATGTCTGTGCAACGTTAAGACGAGGAGGAGGAGGAGGAGGAGGAGGAAGAGGAAGAGGAGGAGGAGGAGGAGGAAGAAAACTCACGTACAGTTGGTCTCTGGAGATCCCCGGAGGTCTCCTCGGAGTCCTTTGGATGCCCAACGAAGGCCAGAGATTACAAAATATCCTTCGGTCCTTGAGACCCGGCCCTTGTCCTCAAAAATCCATCCAAAATGACCCGGTCCCCTCCTCGGGTCATCCTGGCCAGCTCCCCAGGCTGCGCCCAGTCGTGGCGACGACAACCTCCAGAAAGGTCTCAAACTCTCAGCGACGACGACCGCGTCGCCGCCGCGTCGTCGTCGCCCCGCCAGAGCGACGGTCGGTCCTCTTTCGAGCGTGCACACCCAAACCGTATCGTAAGGATGAGTAGTTTCCCAAGGGTGCCTTTTTCACCCTTGCCTCTCGGCCCGTCGGTCCATCTTGGCCTTCAGCCATGGGCCTCTACCCCCGACCTCAGTTTGAGCGTCCACAGAGCCTTGCTCCCTCACTGTGCCTCCTCGTGGTTCGGTCGTTCTGTGCCGCGTCGGCCTCTCCCCCGCTCGCGCTCGGCCCGGGCGGCGCAGGCGGCCTGAGCCCGTCACGGTCAACATTTACGACCTGCACGGCACTGGCAGCGCACTCTTTAAGGCGGGGGGGGGGCAAGCGGTGGGCACACTTCGCCGGCCGGCGGAATGTCCACAGGTCACCAACGGGGGCGCGAGAGGGCATCGCCCGCCGCGGTCCGGGCTGGAGAGCAAGCCCCTTTCTCCGAGAGGGGCGGCACGAGAGCACGAGGGCACCGAAGTCTGCCGCGCACCGCGGGGCGCGATGCGCGGAGATTGGTTTGCCGCGGGTCCCCTCGACCTCTGGTCCAGATCACCGGCGGATTGGTTTGCTCAATCTCAGCTTCCGGAATGGGGGCATTTCTGGGGGCTGTGCTGCTTAGATCCAGGTGCCGACACGCGGGGAACGCCCCGAAAAGTAGAAGAGTATACCAGTTCGACAAGTGCGAAAAGCTGGAAACAAATCAAACATCAGATTGGCGGCAAAGTGCAAACAGCTGCGCGAAGCGCTCGAAGAGCGCACGAAGTGAAACAAACATCGAAAAGAGCAAAAACAACAATCAACAACGCGAAAAGTGCGAACAGCGAGGCGCGCGAGAGGCCGAAGAGCGCGAAGTGTTCGAAGGGTGCGCGAAAAGTACAAAAGAGCGCGAAGCAACGCAAAGCGCGAAAGCGTGCAAAGTTTAAACTACAAGGCGCCGTCGAGGGAGAAATATCATAATATCGAAACATATCTGAAACTATCAAGTCAAAGTAGTATAACAAATCGCAAGACCAGCCCATCCAGAAACGATGCCCAGGGGAGTTGTCCTGATCAGGGATGTGGAGGAGCATGCAGTGAAGTAAAAGGCTTGGGAAGCAGTTATACCCTAAGAGGAAAGGAGGAGGAGGAGGAGGAGGAGGAGGAGGAGGAGGAGGGGTCGGGGGACCGATCTTGAGAGGATGTGGTTTGTATCTTCCCGTCTCGACAGAATTTCTCGAAGATCAGTTCAGATCTCCCAGCCGCCTCCAAGGTCACCCGTTCGCCCCCGCATTTTCGGCCCGTATTTAGCCACCATCGCTGGTCACCTTCGCACGAACGCCTATTCAGCGTGTGCCTCCAAAGCCCTTGAATCCTCGCCGCGCACCCCTGTGATCCTGTCGCACTGCGCCTGGATCGAGGCTGACGACACGTTTCAACAAAACCATGGCAACACATGTCCTGGCGATGTACCCAGCCCGTGCGCAACGCGTGGCCATAATAGCTTGGTCGATTTCTGAGGGGATGAGACCGTGGCAAGAAGGTATATTCTAGCCGCTTCGCGTATCACCACCAGGCGGTCGGTTGTCGACAGTGACGGCTGGATTCGCCAAGTATCTGGTTCTGTGCCCCAGACAGCCTGATTGACCCGCCCTCTGGAGCCGTCCTTTGGGCCGCAGATCAAAAAGTATCACCACCAGCTGCGGGTGCGGGCCTTGTCCGCCGACTCTGGCGGCTAGGTTTGCAAGTTCGCCCCGTACCGTGACCCAGGCGCCGCTTCCGCTCCTTGTTTGTTGCCTCGGAGCCGCCGAAAAAAAGTATCACCACCAGCGCCTTGCTCGGCGCGCGCGACGGCAAGTAGGTTGCTCGTAGCCCGAGCCAACTCTGCTGACGCTGCCAGCGCCTTCGCCTGCGGCCGCGACAACAGAGTAGTATCACCACCAGCCCATCCAGAAACGATGTCCAGGCGAGTTGAGGTGATCAGGGACGCGCGGGAGCAATGAGGTGGACGAGCGAATCGTGCGAAAGAGGTAGGAGGAGAAGGAGGAGGCTGGATGGATGGATGAGGGAGTGGGGAGAAGGAAGATGAATCTGATGATGCGGAGGAGGAGGAGGAGGAAGAGAAGGAGTAGGAGGAGTAAGGAGGAGCAGGAGGAGGAGGGCAAGCAAAAGGGCCAGAGGTCTCTAGGATGCCTCTTGGAGCCTCTTGGGATATATATTGGGCGCGTCTTGGTGGCCTCTTGGGACGTCTTGGGGGTCTCTTGGCGGTCTTGGGGGGCTCTTGGGCGACTTGGGTGTCTTGGGGGGGGCCTCTTGGGGCCGCTTGCGGTCCTCTTGGGGCCCCTTGGGGGCCTCTTGAAGCCTTTTGAGGCCATCTTGGGGTCATCTTGGGGCCTCTTGGGGCCTCCTGGGCGCCTCTCGGGGCCATCTTGGAGGACATCGATCAAAGAAGGGGAAGGTCGCAATTCGCGTTGCCCCCCCCCCAAGAGGCCAAAATGGGGTTAAAACCTTAGTAGCACCAACGATTTGGGCTTCCTCGCCGAGGCCGTTTTGGACGCTCCAACGACCTGGGACCGCACCCCTCTAGGTCCAGAGGAGGGGGTAAGGGGGAGGGGTAAACCCCTCCCCGAAGGGAAAGAGGGAGGGGTTAAAGAGGTAACGCTCTAAACCACCTACGCCTAAAGGGCTGGTGGGATTTTCTGCGAGCGTTTCTTTGGAGGCTCGCGAGCTGCGCAACCTGCAGGACACCGATCAATGGACAAGAGTTTCATGAATGTACCCAAGCCCCACGCTCGACGGGGAACAGGGCGGCAACTAGTGGGAGATGGCAGATGGAGAGCCGACAAGTCAGCGGGGCAGTAGAAGGCGACCTACGACAGTGGCGACCGTTTCGCAGATCGTAGCCCTCCGGGGATGGCGAGGTCTTATCTGAGTCTGCGTATGGCGTCTTTGTGCTGACCCCCCCCCCAGCAGCCCTCGAAAGTAGCAAGAGTTTGGCAGGTCGCACCCCCAAGGGATGGGGAGGTCTAGTCTAAGTCCGGGTAGGACGTCGCTAGGCTGGACCCCCCAGCAGCCTTCCAAAGTGGCGGCAGTTTCGCAGATCGCAGCCCCCCAGGGATGGGGAGGTCTAGTCGGTCCTACGTAGGACGTCACTATGCTAGACCCCCCAGCAGCCCTCGAAAGTGGCGACAGTTTCGCAGATCGCAGCCCCCCTCTAGGGTTGGCCAGGTTGAGTCTAAGTCCGCATCTGGCGTCACTGTTTCCCCCCCCCCCCAGCAGCCCCAGACAGCGGCGACCGTCTCGCAGGTCGCAGACCCCCAGGGACGGCTAGGTCTAATCTGAGTGTGGATATGGCGTCACTGTGCTGCCCACCCCCCCGCAGCCCTCAAAAGTGGCGACAGTTTGGCAGATCGCAGCCTCCCAGGGATGGCGAGGTCTGATCTGGGCCTGTGTATGGCGACACCGCGCCTCCCCTCCAGCAGGCCTCGAACGTGGCGACAGTTTCGCAGATCGCAGCCCCCTAGGGATGGCGAGGTCTGATCCGGGTCTAGGTATGGCGTCACTGCGCTGGACCCCCAGCTGCCCTCGACAGCGGCGACAGTTTCGCACATCACAGACCCCTCAGAGATGGCGAGTTTTTATCTGAATCGTGGTATGACGACACTGTGATGGCCCCCCGGCAGCCCTCGAAAGTGGCGACAGATTCGCAGATCGCAGTCCCCCAGGGGCGGCGAGGTCGTAGGCAAGCGCGAGAGAGGTACGAGACAAGGAGAGAGAGAGAGAGAGAGAAAAAGAGAGAGCGAGAGAGCGAGAGAAAGAAGAGAGGGAGCGAGAGAGAGAGAGAGAGGGAAGGAGGGGGAGGTGGAGGAGGAGGAGGAATAGGAGGAGGAAGGAGAGAGAGAGAGAGAGAGAGAAACAAAAAAATGAGAGAACAAACAAAACATTATATGACAGAGAGAGAGAGAGAGAAAGAGAGAGAGAGAGACAACAAAAAACTGAGGGGAGGAGGAACAGGAGAGATGAGGAGGAGGAGGACGAGACGGAGGAGGAGGAGGAGGAGGAGGAGGAGGAGGAGGAGGGAGGCGGGAAGGAGGAGGAGGGACGCGACCACATGGTTGTTTTCAAAACGAGAACCCCACACCGGAGGGTTGTGGACAAATGCCCTCGAGGATGGGAGGGTGGAAGAGATGGGGGGGGACGAGGGATGGGGAGGGGGGCGGGGACGAGGGAGGGTGGACATGATGAAGGGAGGGGGAGGGACGAGGGAGGGAGGACGAGGGAGAGAGGACGGGAGGGAGGGGGAAGAGGGAGGAGGAAGAGGGAGGGCGGGGGGACGTCCAGAACATGAACGTGCTCCTCCGCGCCGCGGGCACTGGCGCGTTCCACGCTGGCGTGGAGGCCCCGCGCTGCGCCCGCCACGCGCGAGCCTCCTGGGGCTGCGCCCGTGCCGAGGACGTACATCGTCGGGGCTGCCCGGGTCGTCTCGAGCGGCCGCCAGAGGCCCGAGTGGTGACCCGAATTGGCCATAGACGGGCCAACGGCGATGCAGGCAACGGCGATGTAGGTTTCGGTATTGTGGGAAGGCGTTGCTCGCGCTGTGCTACACTTCGCTGTGTCGTGCTCGCTCGATCCATTCGCAGATAGGGAAGTGTGGTTCGTGATCTCCTACATGTTGGTTTCCAACATCACCGTTAAGCAACATCGCTGTTAGCCCAGCCTTGGATTGGGGCCCAAGAGACGGGGGTCAATGCAAATGGGGGTCCGTTGGAGCGCAGGATCTTGCAGGATGCTGCAGTGCCAGGGCTGCATTGGCCCCGGCTTGGGCGCAGGATCCAGCAGGATTTTGCAAGGCCTGAGTCTGGCTGGGCCCGGGTCAGTAGATCCCCGACCGGATCGGGCGTTGCGCGATGATCGGGGATCAATAGGCAATAGGGGGCGAGGACAGGTGCACCTTTCGTGCCCTGACGGGGCCCCCATGGGTCCCAAAAGGGGCACGAAAGATTCACCTTTCTTCACCCCGCCCCCATCTATCGCCCCCCGGTGAAGCAACGCCCAGCCGAAAGCCGAGAGGTTTTCTGCCAGAGTGGCCTTTTAGGCGCTCGGCTTTCGCGGGTCGCGGACACCATCGGAACGGGTCGGAAAGAGATGAGGACGAAGGCCAACCGCAGTTCCTGTTTGTTTTTGAACCGGCTTCCTTGTCGTCGTCGCCGCGGACGTTGTCCGTTTGAGACGACAATTCGCATGCCCCAGAGAGGCAACTGTTGTTTTTGGAAGACATGTGCTCGTGGGCACCGTATCATTTTCCTCCAAACAGTACTTGCATTTCGGCGGGCTTACTGCTCTTCTCAGGAACGGGGCCTGTCTTTCGGTCTGACGGCTAGGTTGTGGCCGGCGCCGCCCTTTCGCCGCCTCGTCACCGCCCGTAACTTGGCATGTTTGTCGGTCTGGCGGCTATGTTGTCGCCTTCGCCGTCTCGTCGCCGCCCGTCGTCAGGGCCTCTCTGCCGGTCTGGCGGCTATGTTCTGGCCGTCGCCGCCACGTGCCGACCTAGATTGCACATCACAGAATGCACCGCAACGGTTGCACCAAGAAGATTGCACTGCATATATTGCACCGCATAGACGGGTCGGTTTGACCACTCGGATCGCACAACATATATTGCACCACATGGCTTGCACCACGTAGATGGCACCACACACATAGCACAACATAGATTGCACCACATAGATTGCAACACTCAGACTGCACCAACTCGCTTGCACAACATACTTCGAACCTCCTAGAACGCACCACATGGATTGCAAAACTGATATTGCACCGCATAGGGTGCACAACATAGATTGCCCCCGATAGATCGTACCACATAGACTGCACCACATGGCTTGCACCACATCGATTGCACCACTTGGGATGGACCAGGTAGCTTGCACACCGTAGATTGAACCGCATGTCTTGCACCTATGGATTGAACCACCTCGACTGCACTGCATATATTGCTGGAAGCACACTGTTCGGGGCCCATGCTGGCTAACAGGTTCGTGCGTACCCATGCCTGGCACGCCAACACAACGTAGGATGTTGCTGCCGAATCGCGTGCAACGATCGGAAAGCCGCGCACCAGAGTTCATCTTTGCGAGAAATACACGACGCGGGGCGTTGGCGTTTTCCAATGTCAAAATGCAACTCCCGATGAGAGACCTGTCCCCAGGAGGGGGGCGAGATTTCTGGAGGGTGGGGCGCGTTGCAAATGAAGCACGACGTCGGGGTTCTAGGCTCGGAGGCCGATGTTCACGGCAGGTTCGCACCGCGCCGAGTTGGCGGCGACGCCGTCGCGCGCGTTCAAGGTTGAATGCCGCCGGTGGTTCGGAGTCCGCCGATATCGAGTGATATGCGCTATCGGAGAGCCGTGATCGTTGAAGGTTGAACGATCCACGGGGTGTCAGAAGCCAGCGCCGACATTGTCAGGACACGAACCTGCTGTGTCCATATCCTTCCACGCAGGCGTGAGTACCGCAAGACAGGTGGGACACGAAACGCGAGAAGGGTGTGCCAAAGTGGGTGCGGTGCGACCATGCGGGCGCTGCCAGTGGAACGTTCGGTGGAGCTCCCCATGGGGCCACCAAACGTGTGGGGGTGTGCCGTAGTCGACATGCGGAGGACAGAGGCGCGGATGGGAGGAGAGGGAGGGCGTGGCGAGGGAGGAGGAGAGGAGGCGGAGGAGAAGGAGGACGCGGGCCGATGTCTCTTCAAAGCGAGGACCCAACACCACAGGATGGTTTGAGCATATTGTTGTTACCTATGTAAATATACATATATATATATGTATATATACATGTGTGCGAGGGCCGTGGCCACCGTCGCCCCCCACCGCCAGGCCATGCTGGCAGATCTGGGCAGATGCTCGGGCACGCTGGCGTGGCCTGGGCGGTACTCCGGCCCGAGGCTGAGCCCCTGCCAGGATGCAATTCGGAGTTAGGTTGTGTAAGTTGTGGAGTGTGCGCAAAGTGGTGAAGGCCATGCGGCGGATTTCCCGAGCGGCAGTGGGGCGGCAACGGACGTCGACGCGGCGAAACCTCGGCGGGCACCCCAAGTGGGCGGCAATGAGGCGGCCGCAGGCGGCGACGCGGCGAAACCTCGGCGGACCCCCAAGTGGGCGGCAATGAGGCCGCCACGAGGCGGCCACGGGTGGCCACGAGGCGAAGCTTCGGCGGGCTTCCCAAGTGGGCGGCCACGAGGCGGCCACGAGGCGGCCACTGGCGGCGACGCGCCGAAACCTCGGCGGACCCATCAAATCCCTTAGCGACACCAGTAAGAATCCCAAGTGCAAGCACTGTTGTAGGAAATAAGCCATACGGAAATCAATGATCGGCCTCCCAGAGCTTTCTTGGGGGTCCTCTTGGGGCCTTCCAGGGGCCTCGTGGGACGTCTTGAGGCCGTCTTGAGGCTCTCTGGCCTTGGGAAAAGTCACGCGAGAAGCCCCAGGAGGTCTGGCAGTTTAGGTCTTGCGCCCCTTAGCGAGCACGTAGAGTATTCAACAATGAGAACGGACCTGAGTGCATTCTATTCAGTGTCTAGCGGCATGGAGGAGTATTGCTCTTGATGGGGGATCGCGTTCTCGCTTAGGGGTTGGTCACAGTTACATGCTGAGGCGGCTATCGTCGCTTTTTTGGAGTGGGTGTCCGCGTTGTTTGGAGGGGGTCCAGCAATTTCTTCCTGCACATGTTCTCCCCCGAAAATAAGCGCGACCATGGTTGGCCAGGAGGGTTGGTTGAGGTTGGTCAGCAGGCTGTTTCTGGGTGGTTCTCTAATGTTCGATGGTTCCTATATCATATAGTAGTGCGGCTATGTGGCTGTGTGCCTTTCAATAGTTTGGTTAAGGTTGCGGGGCCGTCTTGGACGCAAGTGCTCTACCGAGCTGTCTCGAAGGGGGCCGGTAGAATTATCGTGGGGCAATCCGTACGGGTTTGGGCGCCGTTATGAGGCCCTCTCGGGCCGTCAAAGGTTGATTTAGGAGGACATGGGGGCCTCATTGGATCATTTCGAGGCTTTCTAATGCGTCCAGGGGGGAATCGCAAACCGAATAAATTTGAAAGTGCGACGCGTTGAACGCATGTAGTATGTTTCTCAGCGCTCCTGGGCTTGGTCCTCGTTTTGGAAACATCGAGCATGTGATGCTCCTCATCTCCCGCCCCTCCCCCTACTCTGGATATCGCTGCCTCTTAGGAGCATCGCTTTTGCCGATGATATTCAACTCGTGTCCTCGTTTGATCCTCGTTCTTGTTGACGCTGTCCTTGCCTGGCGCACACCTGTCGCCACGTTGGCGCGCCACTGGGACGTCCAGTGGAGTGGCGGCCCCCGCGGACCAAATGGGACCCGTGGAAGCGCACATCCGTATAACACGACAGCAATGTGTTATCGATGTTGGCCCAGCGGTTGTTCCTAGGACAGGAAGACCACCCATCCAGGTGGTCGGGCAACGTTCCCTTGATTGTGACCCCTTGAGGTCCCCCGTTGATTCTGCTAATTGTGCCAGGTGTGCTGGGTACGTCCCTGGGCTGGTGCTCTTTGGGCGCACGCCTTGCTGAAAGACTCCTTGGGGGCCTCTCGGGTGCCATTTGGGGAAATTGTGGTGCCCCTTCGCCGTCTTGGTCAGCCTGGTCTTGGGGTACCTTGCGGCCGTTTCGGGGCGGTCGCGGTCGTGGACTGCTTGGAGGGTTGGGAGAGCGCCAGCTGAAGGACAAATGTACGGGCGGTTTTTGGTCGCATCGGTCGCAGGGAGGGAAGATCACAGAAAGCCAAGCAGGCAGTTGACCCGCCTTCGAACACGCCCGTAGGCACGGTCGATGACAGCGTGCCGACAGTTGACAGTGTGTCGATTGCATGGTCGTTGAATAGATGGTTGTGTATACCGTTTGTGCCGCAGCGTCCTGAGTGTTTTGGGCGCGCGGTGAGTGCAAGCTCAGGCGGGCTGTAAGTGGCGGTGGGTCTTCGAAGTAGGTGTGTTCTTCAGGGCCAGCGCCCGGGCATATCATGTTTCTTCCCACGCCCTCGTCATTCCAGTCTCGCGTCTGTCACTGATGATATCCAAGTCCTGTGGGGTCAGGGGGTGTCCGTAGTTTGCAACCCTTCCCTTAGCGTTTCATCCATGCATGGCAAGCTCACGCCGCGCCGACGCGGCGACGAGCCCGGCGAAGGCGGTCAAGGCTGAACGTCGCCGGTGGCCCAGAGTCGGCCGACATCGAACGATCCGCGCTATCGGAAAGCCTCGGTCGTGCAAGGCGTAGCGATCCACGCGGTGTCAGAGACGGCCGCCGGCGTCATCACAACGCGAACCAGCCGTGCCCAGTCCTTCCGAACCCAACGACCTACCAACACACCTGTCAAAACCAATCCGCAGGTGTTCGGCCAGGAGTGGAGCTTCGGGTACCGCGAAAGCAGCAGGACTGCCAAACTGCTTGAGGGCGCCCGCGAAGGCAGTGGAGTAGGAATGCATGCACGTGTGTATATATATATATATCACAGATGGTTGTGACCTGAATGAGTATGATGGTGACGAGACTAAACGAGGTGAAACTCAAACTGGTGGTGAAGTTGATGGTGGTGGTGGATGCGATGGCGATGATAATGCTGACGATGATGACGAGGATGATATCGATAATGATGATGACGACATCGGTGATGCTGGTGTTGATGATGAGTACGAATGTGAATATGGATCTAAAGATGTATATCTGGGGGGCATTGGTAAGGTTCACAATGATCTTGATAAAGGGCATGAGAAGGTATGTTGAAGGAGATTGTGAATCCATGTACGTATGCATATTTGTATATGTATGTAAACTTACACAGCCATGTATAAACATACACATCGTCATGTATGTCTACATGTATACGCACACACACATCCGAAATGCCTCAAACCACTCTCCCATCCTCCCCTCACCATCGGCTCCTGCTGGAGCGCGTCCTTGCCAAAATGCCGAGGTGGATCCGGTCTCCGCGACGAGGGCCGCACTTTAGAGGCACAGGAGGTGCGAGAAGCCTCGCGAGGGGAGGATGGTGTGTGGGTGGGGTGGGTAACACGTAAAGACACTTGTTTAGATCAGCGGCGCAGCGGGTCCTCAGGCGCGGGCAGCAGATGGAAGTGCTCATTGCGATCGAGCATCGTCGAAAGCGCAGTGAAAGAAACGTCAATCCTTGACGTGCAGGGATGGGTAGTGGGTGGGAAGGACTGTAACCAAGCGAGCGTGCGGCGGCCAGAAAACGGAGGAGCACGTCCGAAAGAGAGAGCTCGACTCAGGGTGAACTGAAACGCGAGCAGTCTGGGGCTAACTTCCACTGAGCCATCGAGACAGCAATGACAGACAGCGGAAGGAGCCCGTGAGGCTGCCGGACCCGCGGACCGGTGGGGTGACGCGAAGCGGCCGAGAGGAAGAAGGGGAAGGAGGGACCAACAACAGCGCGGAGCTCGCGCTGCATGAGGAGCGAGCTAAACAAACAAAGCAGCATGCAGGAGGACAGACGGTCGACTGCGCCCCTGTAGTGGCACCGGTGAGCGAAGAAACGGTCTCACAGCCACCTCCGCCATCGCGGACAAGAAGGAGGGAGAAAGCGAAGAGGGCAGCGCCGCTGGGCGAGGCGCCGAGCGGCCGAGGCGAGGCACGGTAGCGATCGGCCGGGACAGCAGAGCGAAACCGTAGGACTATCAGACGCGGCAGATGCCCGCAGGTGGGCAGGTACTCACCACCCACCAAGCCACCCCAACCCAACCCGAAGACTCAGAATGACCCTCGATTTCCAGTGGGGGGGGGGGATCGGGAAACATCGAAAGAACACATGTGGAGAACCCTTACCCCCCCCCAACCCGAAATTCGGGTCTTCGGGTTGGGTTGGGGTGGTCTGGTAGGTGGGCAGGTACAGCCGACCAGGAAGCACGTCCGCGAGAGCAAGCAGCAACGCGCGAGAGACGCGCAGCTGCTCGGCCGGCAGCGCGGCGGTGCCGCCACAGGCGAAGAGTCAGCCTGCGGCGCTTTGCCATCTGGAACGGCCCTAGGGAGAGTCACACGCAAATACACACACACACACATTATTGCTCACGCATGTTTATATATCTAGCGGCGTCAGGCCCACCACCCCGCCACCGTGCATGGGCTGGGGGACCAGAAGCCCTGTCGCATATTTTCCGGGCTTTCTAGCAATGGCTTCCATGGGGGTCGTGAAATGCGTCCTTCGTGGGTGCGTCAGTGGTAGCAAGGCAGCACTTGTGGAGTACTACTTGTGGCGTGATGTCAGTAGGCAGTTCCACGCAAGTGCAACTTGGAGCCGCATCTTGTTCTTATTGATGTGATATCCAAACGTACCATGCGGAAGCTGTTTGGGCCGTCTTGGGGCTGTCGTTCGGGCTTCTTAGGGGTTATGTTGGGCTGTGTCGGGGCCCTGTTCGACAGTTTCTTGGGTAATCCCGGAGGGGTCTTGGGAGGCCCGCCAAATTCGAGGGTTTCTCCGAAAAGCTTAGGCGACCCGTCCTCCTCCTCTTCCTCCTCCTCCTCATCCTCCTCCTGCTCCCTCCTCCTCCCTCCTCCCTCCTCCCTCCTCCTCCTTCTCCTCCATCTCCTCCCCCTCCTCCACCTCCTCCTCCTCCTCCTCCTCCTACTCGGGTCGCCTACGGCCACGGGGGAAACCGCGCACCCCAAAGGCTTCAAACATGCAGATTCTAGGCTGTCATTACAACAAGAGGGTGAATAGCACGAGGGCTCCGCCAGGATTGCGCTTCCGATTTGCGTAGTCGAAGGATTTTGAGATGCGGGAGGGAACGGTGAGTTCGAACCTGCGCGAGTGGCAGCGCGAAGGTGATGTTTCGCATAGCGGAAAGATCGATTGTCCTGGCGCATGTTCCGCATTTCGTTCGCTGATATTGGTTTTGGAATGTGTAGTCGCCTGGGCCAGACAGCTTTGACTCAAGCAGCACTCAACATCCCAAATGGCACGCGCGCGCCTGAGCGGAGCTTGAGTCGCCGTTTTCGGCGATTTGCCCGGCCGCTGGATTGCCCGCGGGTTCTGCACCTGGTGCGTGGATTAAAGCGACTGGCAACAAGCCTCAAAATCGTGCGCAAGTTCCGGAAAGAATGGCAGTGCTGAGGAGCACGGATGTCTACATGGTGTTGGCCATTCCAGCATTTAGACTACAACGCCACGTCGTTTGACTTCCAACCGATGTTCACAAGCGAAGAGGGTGATCATGTGGCATGCATGGTTTTTCCCCACGTCCAGAATGGTGTTGTTGCTTTCCCCGCACACCCCCCGCGCAGGATTGCCTGCACTCACGTACGTACGCACTCATCATCGCCACCATCATCATCAGTTATCAGCAACATCGTGCCCATCAACAACGCCACGGCTACCGCCGCGCAAACCCACACACACACACACACACACGCACACACACACGCACGCACACGCGCACACGCACACGCACACGCACACACGTCATCATCCCATCCTGATCGTAGGTTGGCATCATCCCGTCACGACGAGATCTCGAGCGGAATTCCCGTCTGTCAGTTAATCGCGAGGAAGTCTCGAGCGGGGGCCCCCGCCCTCTGGGGCCCGCAGCTCACGTTGCGAATGGGGGTGGCTCACCTTTGGCCTTTTCCTATCGCAGGGGAGGTCTGGCGCGGGGGCCTCGCCTGTGAGGGAACTGCGAGGAAGCCCCCGGCAGCTCACGGTATCAATCCGATCGGGCCTTGGGAGCGCGCAGTGGTAGTCATTTCCACTAGGGCATGGAGGGAGTCTCGGGCCGGGGCTTCGTTAGTGAGTGACTTGAAAAGAACTCTCGGCGGGGGCCCACCTCCCTTTCGGGCCCACAGCTCACGTCACTAACCCGAACGGATCGTCCCGCTCTTGCAATCGGTTTCTCTTGTCCTCGTCAAGCTTGAGCATGAAGGAAGTTTCGAGCGGGGGCCTCGTCTGTGAGCGACTTGCGAGGAAGCCATTGGCGGGGCCTGGCCTCGTGGGGGCCTCTTGGGATGGGGGTTCGGATTTTCGGTTCGCGTTTCCTCTTTTATGCCCCTCGTGGGGCCGTCTTGGGGCCCTCCTGGGCCGTTTTGGGCGCCCCTTGGGCTTTCTTGGGGCCCTCTTGAACCGTTGTGGGGCTCTTTTGTAGGCCTCTTGGGGCGGTCTTGGGGGCGTCTAGGGCCATCCAGGATCGTCGGGGAGCCGAAAAAGCGAGAGCGCCTTCGTCTTTCAAAACATTTCGAATCATCCATGATTTTAGCTTCCTCGGGCCCTTTTGCGAGGCCTCTTGGAGGCCCCTCTGGACGCCATGGGGGTATCTTGGGCTCTCTGGGGGCCATACTGGGCGTCTTAGGGTGATCTTTCGGCGGCTCGAGGCCGCCTTCGGCCATCTTTGCAGGCCTCCTTCCTGGGGACCCTCTGCGCTCCTCTCGGAGCCGTGCTGCACCCCAGAGGGTCACGCGACGGGCAGCGGAAGCCCCAAGGGGCACGCGCCCAGACCCGAGGGATTTTGCTGTTCGGGCCCCGGGGCCCTCGAGGACTCCGCAGGGCTGAGGCCTGAGGCTCCGGGGAGCGGGCAGAGGGCCTGAGGACGCCCACCCCGTGCCCAGCGGCACGGTGGCGGATGTTGTGCTGAAGTAGTCTGTGTGGTTATGAAATGGTGCGGTTCGTTGTTGTGATATGACGTTGTGCCATTATGTGAGATATGATGCCGTGCTCTGTTACGTTATGTGTTGGTGTGGGTTTTTCTTGTATTGGTGATGTCGTATGGTGCTATGTTAAGCGTGTGATGCTCCGTGATGTCAGCGCATGCATTGCTATATGTGTCGTGGTATGGAATGTGATTGCATGGTATGACATGCTGTGCGTTGCTACGCGTTGGTGTATGATAGGGCTTGATGTGGTATAGCGTGATATGCTGCGCCCTGTCATGGTTTTGTTTGTCATGTTATGGAATGCGATGTGAGTTGATACTGTGCTACGGTGCGTTATGTTCTGCGTTGTATGCTTGGCATGAGGTGTTATGTAATGGTATGTTGTATTATGCTGAGGTGTGGTATGTGATGGGGTGGTGTGATCCGCTATGTATGACCCGTGCAGTATGGCATAGCTTACGGAGCTATGATGTATTACGCATTTGGCATGGCGTAACACATCAGCGTATTAGTTATCATGTTGTGGTTTGTAATGGGAGCCGCGATTTGTACGGCATGGTTTGTGTGTTGTGCTGCTGTGTTAGGTTATGGTGTGACACACCATGATATGCCATCACATGTTATGTTACGTATGCTATGTCAGTGTCGGATATGGCATGGTATGTTCTGTATGATCCGATCTTTCATATCTTGTGGTGCCATGCTGTGCTGTACAATGATTTGGTATGTCCTGGTATGTAAGGCTGTGTTATGTTCTGACAGCAGCGCTTTGCACAATGCGTGTGCCCGCAGCCATTTGGGCCCCGAGCCCGCAAGCTGAACGCCTGACCTCGGTCGGGCCGCTGCCAGTAACCCTCAAGCGAATCATAGCGGGATGGGCCGACTCCACGGCGTTCCGCTTCGGATTCTTGGCAGTCCTCGACCCGGTCTCCAGCGAGCCGGGCCAGGAGGTGTCTGCGCTGCTGCTGCGCACCACGGAGGCCCAGTCGCACTTCTCTGTGCCGACTGGGTCTTTCGACACGGGCTTCGCCGTCGGCCCGGTGGCCGTCGCAGCCTGCGACGACCAGGGGGAAACGATGGACGGCATCGAGGTGGCGGTGGAGTTTCTGAGCGTCCTGACCGACAGCATATACAACTTCGGCGGGATGGTCTCGGACGACGCCGTGCCGTTTCAGGACGAGGGCCCTGTGGCCCGACCCCACTGCCGCCATCCTGGCCATGCCAGAGGGCTTTGCCAAGGAAATCGTCCTTCGGCTCACGCGGGCGGCGCAGGCGAGCTGGAGCCCAATCCGGCCGCTGCAGTCGGTCCTGGCATTGTCGGTTCGCCGCTGGGGCTTAGGATGGGCCCAAACCTTTTCCTGATCGCTCCTGGCCAGTCAGCGCCCCCGCCGGCGGCCGTTGGGCGCGGGGCTGGGCGCGGGCGCGGGGCTGGGCGCGGCGCCAGCGCTCGCCCCACCGCCGCGACGAACGCCAAGGAGATCGCCGACGTTCGCGCCCAGATGGGCGCAATGCAGAGCCAGGCCGCCGATGTGCAGCAGACGCTCGCGCGCATCGAGTCCGTCTTGGTTGGCGCTGGGCGCGGCTCGCCGCTCCCAGGGCCGCCGCCGGCGCTGGGCTTGTTGCGCAGTGCGGCAGCCGCAATTCCCGGGTTGGCGAATCTGTTCGGCGGCGCAGCGCCCGCGCCAGATCCGCCGCCATTGCAGGCTGGCGCTGGCGCGCTGCTCGGGGGTCCCGTGCCCGTAGGGCCGGCGGGGCCAGGGCTGCTGGGCGCCGCCCCCGCCGCGGCCGTCGGAGCGCTGGCCCAGGCCGCGGCGATCGCAGGGCCGCCGCCGGCGAGGGCGGCCCCAATGGCCGGGGCACGCCAAAGGCTGCCTCCGCTTGGGCAGCGAGCACCGCTGGCACCGCCGCCTCGCGCGCCACCTGGGGGTTCCGTTTCCGTTCCTGGCGGCGCGCCGGCTGCCGGAGGGCCCCCGGCCCCGTCGACGGTCGCAAGGCTACCCGCGACCGAGCTGGCAGACGCCCTGAGGGCCATCGCCACCCAGGGTCAGGCGACAGCAGCGCTGCTGGCGAAGTCGTCGGGGACCTCTGGGGATCCGCTGTGCTCGCTGCTCGTCGGCGGGGAAGACGGGGTAGCCGCCCAACGGGCACGGCTGCCAGGCGCCAAGGGGGCGGCTGCCCTCGAGGCGCTCCGCCGGCACATGGAGGCCAACCCGAAGGCTTTCACAGCCCTGATCCGCGGCAACGCGCGGAGAGCCCTGGCGGCCACCGACGACGAGACCGACCCCTGGGGGAACTCGATGAGGGAGTTTTTCACCCGACACGTGGCCTTCGGCCAGGCCCGCGGCGTCGCCTACCTGGGTTTCGGGATGGCCACCGTGGCGGACTGCATGAGAACGGGGCAGTGGGAGCGCACCGAGGCGCTCCTCCTGCTCCAGCTCGCGGCCACAGAGCAGGCGACGCTCGACAGGGGCAAGTGGAGCCTTGCGTGGCTGCTGACCCACCTGCCAGAGCCGCCGCGGGCCCAGTTGTCGCAGCAGCCTCCTCAGGACGCACTCCGGCCCTTTGGGAGGCTGGCGGACCCCGCGTGGACCGCGGCGGCGATGGCACACCAAAGACGCAGCTGCCCTGGCAGAGCTCCGCCGCCGGGCACCCGGGGGCACGCAGGCGACGGCCGAGGAGACTCCGCCGAAGGGCGGCCAGCTTGGGCTGGGGCAGAACCAGGAGGGCGGCAGCAGTGGCAAGAGGGGCAAGGACGAGCCCGCGTCCGCCGAGTGAAGGGACGCCTGGGGCCAGCCTCAGGCCCCAATTGGCGCTCGCGCTATACACATAGCCAGAGCGAGGCGGGCCATCAGGAGAAGCTCCTGTGCGGATGGGCCCGCGGCAACGCAACTTCGATTATGGCGACGGGCGCCGCCCTTGGTGCCTGGATCGCCTCCACGACGAAACGAAGCGCCCCTGCACTCGCGGCGGCCCCACACGGCAGTACCGCCGCACTTCCGACAGCGCTTAGCCCTGCCCGCCGCCCTTCCCATGGGCGAGCGGGCCAGCGCCCCGCTCGGCACGGCGGCGCGCCAGATGGAGCGGACGCCGCGCGACGCACGTCCTGGTGATCGTCATGGTCTGTGCGCTGTCACAGCTGGCCACCGGAGGGCGCCGCGTCGCGCCCCTAGCCGCTTGCTGCGGGAGGCCCTTGAGCGAGGAACAGCAACATATATGCCCCCGACTCGAGGTGCTGGCCAAGCTGGTTCGCCGCCTGCCCATGTCCTGGGGGAACCGCGGCGAGGCCAGACTGAACGCGTTATGCGATTACTCTGAGCAGGTGCGGACCGCTGCCCCCGGGGCCGCCTGCCCCGCGCCCGCCGCCCTCCTCGGGGGCGATTCCCGGGCCGACCGCGCGGAGTTCCTCAGCGCGCCGGCCCACTTCCGCATCGACTCGTATCTGAACCCGTTCGACGCGGCTTGCTTCCTCGAGCCGCGCTTGTTGGAGGTGCCACGCGAGCCCTGCCTGCGCCCCGTGGCGGGTTTGAGGGCGCGGCGACGGGAGCTCGCGAAGTTCGCGCGCAAGCTGGACGCGGCTGGCCGCCTCTACCTGGCGACGCCCAGTGAGGCGCCCAGGAGCCAGCGCATGAACCCTCTGGCCGTGGCTAAGAACGAGTCCGTCGACCGCGTCGTATGGGACAGGCGGCGGCGCAACTGGATCGAGGCTCACCTCGGCGGCGGGGCCCGGGACCTGCTGGCAGGATACCATTTTGTGAAGCACGAGCTCGGTGACGGCGAAGTCGCGGATGTTTTCGCCGATGGTTTGCGCGATTTTTGCCCCTCCGCGGTGGCGTCTCCGGCGCGCGCGTGCACCAACGCACCAGCCGTCGAGCTCAGCCCTTCGGAGCTGGCGGGCGCGCGCGCGCTGCGCCGCTTCGGCGCCGAGCCGCCGCCGAAGCTCATCCCGCGCGCGCTCTCGCTCGTGATGGGCGACACCAACGCGACGGACTGGGCGACCAAAGCGCATTCGCAGGTGCTTCGCGGCTGCGGCGTTGCCTGCTGCGAGGCGCATCTTGCAGAACAAGGCGTGCCCCAGGGGTCCGATCGCGCAGGCCCTCGTGGTTGACGACCACGTCGCCGTCGCGAGCGCGCCGCGCCATCCTGGGATCCGAGGGCCCTGCCGTGCCGGGCCCCCAGCAGCTGCAGGGGCCCCCCCCGCCTGGCGGGGAAGTCGCGGCGGGCCCCCAAAAACCGGTGCGGTTTCTGCCTCCGCGACCTTCCGGGGACCAGAAACCGGGGCCGGTTTTCTGGCCGCGCCCGGGGGCCCCCGGCACGGCGCCCAGCGGCCCCCGCGCCCCCTGGCGCCCTGCCCAGCAGCCCGCAGCCATCGGACCCTGCCAGCCTGCCGCCAGGGGCCCCCCCCTTCCCGATCCTGTGGTCGGTTGGAGGCCCCCGGGTTCCCAGGAGGCTCGGAACCGCACCAGGAGCTCGTCGAGTTGTTTGACGCCGCCAGCGTCGCCTACCAGAATGCTGGCCTGGTGCGCCATTCCGCGAAGGCTCGACGCGGCGACCGCCATGGCACTGCGCTAGGCGCCGAGGTGCTCGGCGAGGAGGGCCAGGTCGGATCCGGACGCCTTCGCCGCATGCGCCTGGCAGAGCTCAGCGTGCAGCTGGCCGCTCAGCGGCGCGTCGCGGGCTCGCTGCTGCGCGCGGTGGTCAGCAGCTGGGTGTTCATCTTGTTGTTCCGCAGGCCGCTCCTCAGCATTCTCTGGCGCGTTCAGGTGCCTGCCCGATCCCAGTTGGGACTCGGAGGTATTCGAGCTGCCAGCTGGCGCTCGCCGAGAGCTCGTGCTGCTGGCGGCGCTCTGCGCCGCGATGACTTCGAACATCCCGGCTCGCCCGAGCGACGTGGCGCCGGTTGCCACCGATGCCTCGGAGAGCGCCTTGGGCGCCGTCACAGCTCCCATCAGCCGCTCGCTTCACCGCGAGCTTTGGCGGCTGCGCGACCGCCGCGGGTGGCCGACGCATTTGGTCGGGCAGCATGGCGAATGGTTATTCGCCCGAGGTCTGGAGCGCGATCGCGCCGACTTCGGCGAAGCCCTGCGCGCCGAGCAGCAGCATGCGCAGGCCGTGGATCCACGACGCGTCCTGGTCGAGCATTTCGACGTCCTCGAGTTGCGCACTGGCCAGCGCAGCCCTTTCTTGTCTGCTTGCGCCCGGCGCGGGCTGCGAGTCGGCCCCCTCGTCGACGTTAAGATTTCCGCTGCGTGGGACCTCAGGTCAGACCGACTATGGGTCCTATGGCTCGTCGCCGCAGGGCGCGCGTTCTACGTCCATTGCAACCCGCCGCGATCGACCTTCAGCGCGGCGCAGCGGCTCAGGCCCCGGTCGCGCTCATGCCCTCTCGGCGTCGACCCCCGCGAAGAGGCCGGGAACGAGTGTCTCATGATCACCTTGGACGTGCTGCAGGCGATCCGGCGGGCTCCATGGGTTGCTGGCACCTGGGGCCACCCGCGGAACGCATGCTCCTGGAGCGCCCCGCAGGTCCAGGCATTCCTTCGACATCCGCAGGTGAGCAGCATATGTTTTTTTTACATGCTCTTACGGCTGGGCTTCCCGCCAAGACAACCGCATGGGCCTCGTAAGTGCCGAGTTCCTGACCCCGCTTGCCAAGCCGTGCACGGGCTTCCACAAACACGTCCAGCATGCCGCGGCAGGCGCCGCCAAAGCGACGACTGGGCCTCCTTCGTCGCCGACTTCATCGGCGAGGCCCGCGACAGGATGCAGGAGGCGGGCGGCGACTCTGCCCTCGCCAGTCCCGAGGGCAATCTTGTCACCAGCGGTGCTTCGGAGTCTCTGCTGATCAACGAGATCGCCGCGGGCGCCGCGTGGACTCTCGAGGGGCCCACGCTGGACGAGGACGGACAGCACGTCAACATACGTGAGGTACGAGCCTACACCCACTGTGTGGGGCGGCAGGCAGCTGCCCGACCGGGCGCCAGGCAGGTGCATTTGCTGGACTCGTTGGTCGGCCTTGGGGCCTTGGCCAAGGGCCGTTCGCCGAGCAAGCCGATCAATGATGAGCTTCGCCGTGCCGCGCCGGCCATTGTGGGTCACGACCACTACCCTGGTGGCCACTATGTCCCCGCAGCCGACGACCCGACCCAGAACCGCGAGGTGCGGCAGGCGGGCGTCTGCGGCACCTGGCTGGCTTTGGAGACCGAGGCAGCTTTCGACGTCTTCGACCTCGTCGCTGCGCTGCCCCTGCAGCGCCGGGCCGTGGCGGACTGGGCCCGCCTCACCTCCTGGCGACTTGGCGACAGCCCTGGAGGCCATGGCCATGGGCCGGGCACATCTTCGACAGCCTGCTGGGCTACCCAGGCGAGGGCCCTCGCGACCAATCGCTTCCAGCCCACACCCGCCCTGCAGTGGACTTGGCGCGCGCGCGCGCTGTCAGCCCAGACGGTCGGGCGCCGAGCCGTGCTGGCGCAGCGGCTGGGGGCCTGGTTGCATTCGGAGCTGGCCATGTCTATCGCTCAGCTGATTTCCCTCGGAGGCCGCGAAGTCGCCCGGGTGCTTGCCAGATATGGGCAACACTTGCACGACGTGGGGCGCCCAATCGGCGCCTTCACCGAGACAGTGAATGCCGTGGTGGACCTGGACCGGTCGCTCCGGCGACAGCTGCAGGCAGCATGGGACGTGGTGGATGCTTGGCAGGCTCTCATGCCTGTCAGAAACCACTCCCCTACGCCGCTGGTGCTCCTGCTGGCCATGGTATCGCTTTCACTGCTGTGGGGTTAGGTCGACATGGGGGCTTTACTATATCTGAGCTTTGTCGCCGTGCTCTGGCCAGGCGAGCTCCTGGCCTTGACCGCCGCCGACGTGCTGTTGCCGAGCGCTCTGATCTCAAGCAGGCCCCGGGCGCATGTCAGGATCAAGCTGCCCAAGACACGACGCCTGGCGGCCCGCCGCCAGCACGATCGTTTCGACGAGCCGGTGCTGATCGAGCTGCTAGAGGCATGGTTGCTGGGTATTCTTGGGCAGCAGCAGCTGAGGGCCCGCAGTGCGTACCAGTTTCGGCAGGCGCACGATGCTCTAGTGTCTCATTTGGGCGTGCCCGCCAGCAACGGTGGTCACGCCTGCCAGCCATGGCGGCGCCACTTCTTTCTTTGAGCCAACCGACAGCCTCGTTCGACACAATGGTGTGGCAGATGGACTTCAGCCAGGACTCTGGAGATCTATATCCAGGAAGTTGCCGCCGCAAGCCTCCTTCCAGATCTCCCCCGTTCGGCCCGCGACCGCATTCGCGAACTAGCAGCGGCATGTCTGGAATTGCTCGACCTGAGCGTGCGGGCACTCAGCTGCGCGAGCCGGCGCTGACCAGCGGCGTCGGCGCGCCTCCACCGCAGGGTAGTCGGCAGGCCTGCGCAGCCTGCCTCCGACACCCGCCAGCCACCCCAGCGCCGCCTGTTTTGGTTGGCAGGGTCCGGCCGCTGCCCGCCCAACAGGGGCGGGCGGCAACCGGCAACGCGGCCGACCCCCGGGTGTAAAGATGTTCACAGGAGGAGGGTGGGGCACGCAGCAGCCGAGGCACAGAACTGACAGCAGCGCTTTGCACAGTGCGTGTGCCCGCAGCTATTTGGGCCCCCCTCCCCCCCACCCTCGGGGCAGGGTCCGGCCGCTGCCCGCCCAACAGGGGCGGGCGGCAACCAGCAACGCTGACCTTGTGCAGGGCACGCTGTGTGGCGCAAAAGGCCGGGCAGACCCCCGGGTGTAAAGATGTTCACAGGAGGGGGGGCACGCAGCAGCCGAGGCACAGCGCTGGCTTGGTATGTCCCGTTGCGCTATGTGTTATTATGGTACGTTTGTTTTGCCATGGTATGTAATGATCGACTATGATGATGTGATATGGTACGCACTGCCCTGTCATGGTTTGTGATGTTACGATTCGTTCTGCCACGATAAAGTGTGTCGCGATCGAAATATTATCTTAGGTGGTGTGGTGGTATGCTTTGTTCAGTTTTCTCCACCCACCAAACCACCCCAACCCAACCCGAAGGGTCTGATTTACCCTCGATTTCTAGTAGGGGGGGGTCCGGGAACATCGAAAAAACACATGTGGAGCCCATACCCCCCCCAACCCGAAATTCGGGTCTTCGGGTTGGGTTGGGGTGGTCTGGTAGGTAGTCAAGTTTGGCGCCAGACGGGACGCTCGGGGACACTCGGGGGACCTAGGGATGTGGCGGCCGCGGTATGCCGAGCGGCGCGAGGCGGGACACTCGGCAAGGGCTCCCTCGAGGGCGCGAAGTTATTCGCGCTTCGCGCTTCGCGGTCCTCGCTCCTTCTCCCCCTCCTCCTCGTCCTCCTCTTCTCCCCCTTGGGGGGCGGCGCGAGAGCGCGAAGTTATTCGCGCTTCGCGCAGCGCGAAGCGCGAACTTAGGAGCCCTTGCTCGGGGACACTCGGGGACACTCGGGGACACTCGGGGACACTCGGGGGACCTGGGGATCTAGCGGCCGCGGTGTGCAGAGTGGGCGAGTCGTCGCGAGGCGGGACCATTCGGGAACGTTCGGCAACCTGGGGATCTGGCGGCCGCGGTATGCAGAGAGGCGCGAGGCGGGATTTTCGGGGACACTCGGGGGAACTGGGGATCTGGCGGCCGCGGTATGCAGGGTGGATGGGTCGGGAGGTCCGTTCGTAAAATCTAGCGACATTGACCCCAACTTGTCGGGTGGGGAACTTGGCAACTACCCGATAACCACGGACAGCCACCAGCGGCGCCAGCTGCAGCAGTAACCGACACACTTGCACCAGCCGCGCCAGCGGCATCAACGAGGCCAGCGCGGCTACGTACACCACAACCACTGCGAACTACACCAGGGCAGGCAGACCCAGCCGCCAGCGCCAGCAGTTACGACATGACCCCGGGCTCCCATGGAGATCGTAGCAGCTCGCCGAGAGGCGCTGGCAGTTGGACTGCCCACGAACAGGTTTTGGGAAGGCGCGGACGCGCGCGTGGCTGAGGATCCACCACCGCCGTTTGGGGCACAAGCCGACGCACGGTCACGTGCGAGATTACCAGATTGGTCATGGTTCGATGTGCCAATTAGTTTCCAAAGTTTGCGTAGCTTCGACCTAGCAGTCGTCGCGAAATAAATACGCAAGCTGCATCACCGATGACATCACGCCACGGAACCGAAGATTTCTAGATGAGACTCACTTTCCGAAGGTGGATGGGTCTTGACAGCGTGCGCTTTTACTTGTTTCAGGTAGTCTGCGATTCATGCCGTGAACGCAAGGTTTGTGAGCAAGCCTGGCAAAGCCGTTATACCATCCGTCTGTCAGTCCCCCAGGCCGCTTCAACGAAAAAGCCGAATGAGATGTGATGTTCTACAAATTCCATATCGTATTCCACATTAGTAGTTGTTGTTTTCGAGTGGCCACTGGACAACAGGTGTCTGACAAGACAATACACAGCATTCTGGGCGCCTACCATTGTGTGTTCGATGCGGCATGGACCTGCCATCGTCTTGTGTTCAGATGGCCAGGAGGCTTTGAACAACGACGCAGCCAGGCCAAGGCCGTCCTTAAATCAACAGGCGCCGAGCTCCGTCTGAGAGCGCGTGATCAGCTCGCCACTACCATCGAAGCAAGAAGCGGCATCTTTCGACGCACGCTTCACGTCATGAAAGAAAAACTCAACAGGCACACAATACCTCTTGCGTTCACACCGCTATTGCACGAAACCATGTGTGTGAGCACTGCGCTCACTTTCTCCCATGGCGTATCGCCGAACCAAGCTCTAAACGGGCAACTGCCTGCATGCACCACATGTCTTCCAACGATTGACCACGATCAGGGTCAGCAAACTTTTGAACGCATTCGCGAACAACGGATCAGGGATATCAGCATTGAGGTTATCACGTAGGCCGTTGCAGTAGGCACGAAAGCTACACCACTTGTCCAAATTCTTGACAAGCCAAGAGATATTGTTGACGACAACCAGCCTGCTACAACAAAGGGCCACTGGAAAGGCTGGAACGGCCCGTGCCGTCTCGTGAGGAATGGCCCCAGACGGGGCCAAGTTGTGGCACAGGTCGGGGGGGAGAAGTCTTGGTTCAGCACCCGGGCGTACGGCACATTGTATGTGGATGCACTCACCATCCGCGATATCGGCTCCGATACCACGGCCTGGCGTACAGTACTAGTCTTTATCGCATCACTAGTTTCGGGGAAGCCTGCTGTGGCTCTTGGCTCCTTGCCAACGAAGCAAGGATACCTGCGATAGACTACCGCGAGTGAGCTATCGCCTAAGGTCCACTTGGCCTTACAATATCTTCGCAGGAACTATTTTCTGATTCACGCCTTAATCACGTGAGATTGGCCGAAAGCATGCAACGGCTCCTGGCAGCCACTTACGCTAGCACCTGCACGTTGGTCTACTACGACAGCGAAATTACCCCACGATTTCACGACTACGAATCCAATGGCGCAGCCCTGAGCATATAGCACATTACTGACATGTCACACGCACAGGTGATCCAATGCTCCAAGCCCTCGAAACCGATGGCGGCTTTCGACGCTTCGACGAAGATTGTCCAAGTGCTAAGATCCGGCGGACACGCTGTCACCACCGCGCGGCCCCGCACAGAAGGAAATCGAACTGGCCCCCCCGAGCCTAACGACAACCGCCGGCCCACCATTTACTAGGAGTGTGGTGGCGACCTCGAGGCGTACACCATAGATACCTGGTATACCGAACTACCGGAATAAAAGGAAAATTTCGAGACTACTTCAATGGAGGAACCCGGTACCAACCCAGATGATCTTTGCATCAGGGGGAGGCACAGAACGATGAGAAAGGATGAGGATGTCATTCCATCGTGTCTAGTTTCCGCATGGACTGGCCACGCCCTTGCGAGGATGATTTTTCTCTTGATTGTTTGTGGGAGCATTCCAGATCATGCGCCGCAAGCGGCACAAGAGAAACCATCTAGACCTCCTAGATGTTGTCGGTGTAGATGGGGTCGGAGGGTCGCGCCGCATCGCCGATGCATCGACGATGCGGCTCGATGCGGAACCCGATTTTCCCCACGCCGACGTCGCCGATACATCGCCGACGTCGACGCCTCATCGCCGGTGCATCGCTGATGCATCGGATGCATCGCCGATGTATCGGCGATGCGGCGCGGTCCTCCGACCCCATCTACTCCGACCCCATCTAGGAGGCCTCTACACCAGGAACAGGCCACGCGGTGCAATTGTCCATGAGGGAGTTGCCCAGTTGGCGAGAGACCTCATGAGAGAGGCCCCAGAGGCCTCAGTAAAGGCTGCGAATTTCCCATGGTCAGGGGGCTTTCATATCTATATCATTTTTGTTTTCAGTCCCAGGCTTTCGTGATCAATATTGTTGTGCAAACGCAGTCCGATGTTGGGCTCAAATCATTGCCAAGGCCCAAAGAAAAACCCAAGAGGGATCCCCCCCCACGAAGGACACAACATGTCCCCCGTAACGGCCCAACGATGATCCAAGATCAGTGGGACCGCGAAAAAGGCCCCAAGGGACGCTTAAATCTGCTCCAGACGGCCCCGTTTCCACGATTGCATTACAGCAGTAGCAGTCGCCACTGCAATAGTAGCAGCAGCACCACCGAGCGATGGAGAGCCGCGGGTGGAGTAAATCAAGCAGGAGGAGCGGCGACGATTCAGAAGAGAAAGAGGAGGAGCAACAGACGGCGAATGAGGACGGGACCGATGAAGCAATAAGATATTATATAAGTGTACGTCGCAATGTTGTGTTGTGCCGTGGTCTTCTTCTTGCATCCTCATTTCTTGCCGCCTCTCATCATTTGTTGTCTGCCTCTCCTGTGATCCCAGCCTGAGGGCGACGCCTGGTGCCTCGCTCCCAACAGACCCAGCCTCCTCACACGATCGCTGTTTTGCAGACACATCTCGAGAAAGTCCACGGCTGACATCCACAAAGACCCATGCGACTACCACCTGGCAACGGGTTGTATGAGTTGGCGAGGCTCGAACCGAAGCGCGCGAAAGGCGCGCGCGCGTGCATCTAGTACATACATGCACACTCAAACGATCTCCCGCGCAAGCCCTCGCTCGCGCGCCGAAGGAGCGGAGTGTATTGCACCGCCCCGCGGGAGAGGCCCCTTCCCCCCGGCGCGGCGCCGAAAACGACGATGACGACCGCAAGAATGGCCAGGACGACGACGACGATGCCATCGGCGGCGACGACGACGACGCGGCAGTACAGCGGCGACGGCGCCGACGGCGACAACGACGAAGACGACGACGTGTCCTCGTTTTGGGGTGTTGTCTGCGCTTCTGGAGACTCCCGCATCCCGGATGACTTGCCAGGATGGATTATGGCAGGAGTCCGTGGACCGATCTCGAGCGGATTTAGGAAGAGGGGACGAAGGAGGAGGACTTGAGCAAACCCAAAATGTATCAACAGAGTTGCAATATACCCTCCCGTCCTAAGGCTCCTCAGTGGCCCCTACAAGTTGGAGGTTGGAGTGCGAGATCGAAGTGCGCCAGATTCCCCTGGCAGGTACATCGGTTCTGGTTTCGGCTCGTGTGGTGACATGCGTGCGGGCGGGGCGGGGGCTGCGGCAGGGCCGGAGAGGTCCCTGTGTTCTTCCCCTCCGGTCGAGCGGTGGCCCCCGCGCGGTTGCCTTGGTGGTTGTCCCATGGTTTGTGTTGGCATTGTCCCGTGGTTTTCCTACGGTGGTCCAGCACTTGTTCCGTTGTTGTCTGTTTTGTCTTGTGGTTGCTCCCTGGTTATTTTGTGCGTGTACAGCGGTTGTTTCGTGATTGTCCCGTGGTTGGTCCGATGGTTGCCTTACGGTTGTCCCGTGGCAGTTGCGGGCTTGTCGAGTGTCCCGTGGATGTTCGTGGTTGGCCCAGGCGCCGCGCTCCTGCTCTGGTCCACGCTCGTTGCGGGCATGCTGGCCAGGACACGGCCAGGGGCGGCGCGCCCCTGCACACAGGCCGCGCCCAGCGTCGACCCGCTGTTCGCACGGGGCTGCGTGCGCGGAGCCCCGGCTCATCGACGCGGGGATCGACGGTGCCAACCTGCGGCAGTCTGAGGCGGCGCTCCGCGGCGGACGATCTGCGGACGAGAGAGAGCGGCCAGCCTCGCGGCGCCGCGCGACGGCAGGCAGAACGAGGCGTGCGACTGCAGGACGGTGGCGGACGGCTTCGAGGACGCCATCCTCGCGGAGCCCGCTCGATCCTCATGGGATGTGCTGTGCGGCTGTTGCGCTGGGTATTCCCAGTCGCCAGGCGCTCCTAGGCGCTGCCAAGCGCTGTCAAGTGCTCCCAAGCTTCGGAGCCCTGCGGGCTGCGGAGGGAGCACCCGGGCACCGAGGCGCAGGGCTGGGGTTCCAGCCGCCAATGGGCGCGGAGCGAGCGCGGGAGCCGCGGCCTGCGGGGCGCGGCCCGGGGGTGGAGCTCCCCAAGGAGGGCGCGAGGGCGGCTGGCTTGGCGCAGGAGTGCGCCCGAGGGCCGAGGGCCGAGGGCCGCCAAGAGCAACCGAGGGCCGAGGGCCGCCAAGTACTTCAAGGGGGGCAGAGAGAGAGCTCGCCGTGCGTGCGGAAAGGTTCTGAGCAGAGGCACTCGATGGGTTCCCAGCGGCCGGCGATGGCCCCGGCGTTGTCGGTGTCGGCAGCGCTCCCGAAACGAGCGAGACCCGAACCCTTCGCGGCCCAGGGGAGGCCCCCTGGTCTTTGTGCCCCCTTCCTCCTTCCTCGCCTCCACATCCTTCTCGTCCTCCCCCATCATCGTCATCGTCATCGTCAGCATCATCAGCATCATCATCATCATCATCATCATCATCATCATCATCATCATCATCATCATCATCATCATCATCATCATCATCATCTTTCTCCCTTCCTCCGCTCCCGCTCGCTGTCGCTGTAGATGTGTGGGGCCATCATAATCACCAGCATCATCCTCACCGTCGCAATGCCGACTTCATCGCAGCCGTTATCATCACTCTTGTCATCTTGAACCCCGTCGTTGGGATCACTGCGACTGGTCATGCCAGGGGTATGTTGGAGGTCTCTCGGGGGCCTCTTGGGGATGGTCAACATGCAGATTCGAGTTCCCTTCTATTCGGCCTTTGACTGGGCGCGGTCCAGGGGACCGGGGAACCTCCACGGCCGATGGTTCAGTGTTTCGGGCCATTTTTGGGGGGGCCGACCCGAGCGCCTCCAAGATTACCCAAGATGCTCTCAGGAGGGTCTCAGAACGGACCATGCCATGTTGGACTGCGCGGAATTCCGACCACGCTTTTGAGGTCTCTGAATACAAAGCACGCGAGCCGTCCCAGGAGCGCCCAGAAGCACCCAACAGCGCCTGGAGTTCTGCGATCGGGGGGCCATTAGTTCTGCATGCTTGCAGAATCATCAAGGTTCCGTACTCCCAAAAAAAAGCCCGGTAGATCCGTACTTATTGTTTTTGTTCAGAACCCTAGCGTCTTCTGGAATATTGAAGGAATCTTGGAATTCTGTACAAATCCCACAGCGTCCACAGGATTCCCGCTAGTCCCCCAAGGACTTGTTCTTAGCTATCCTGGCGGTTTTCCATGGAATCCAAAGGGTTCTCGATGGATTCCGATCGGAATTCCTTGGGGTTTTGGCGGGTTTTCGAGTCCGCGTCTGCCGATGTCCTACGGAATCCAGAGGATGTCGCTGGGTGTTCCGGAGGGACACTGAAGCATCCCTCTGCGCGAGTTGCTCGGCGGACTCCGCCCTCTTGTGCCTCGAGGCGCCACTCATCTCGGAGGGGGACACCCGCCGATGCGACGCAGCTCCCCCGCCAGAGCCTCCCGCCCGCGCGGCGCCCAGTCTGGCCGCGTGGCGCCATCCCCTTCGCGAAGCGAGGCCCCTTGCCCAGATCGCAGAGAAATGACCCCCGTGGATGCGACGCACCACTGCCCCCCCCCTCCTGCTAGGGCCCCGCGCGGGGGTGAGAGTCCGTGACGGAAGTTCCCCCTCGGGTGCAGGGGGGCTTGGGACTTGGGCGGCGCGAGCGCGCCTTCGAGAATTGACCGGCCCCTCCTCCTCCGCCTCCTCTTCCCACTCCCATTCCCACTCCCACTCCCACTCCCACTCCCGCTCCTACTACAAGTCCTCCTCCTCCTCCTCCTCCTCCTCCTCCTCCTCCTCCTCCTCCTCCTCCTCCTCCTTACTAGTCCTCCTCCGCATCCACATCCGCATCCGCATCCTCCTCCTCATCCCCCTCCTCCTCCTCCTCCTCCTCCTCCGCCTCCTCCTCCTCCTCTCTATCCCGGCGCCCGCCAGCGAACTCCACTCCTACCGCGAGTCGATATTCATGGGCGAGACGCGCCTCGGGCGGCACGAGGTCGAGAGGCGTTCGCGCCCTCCTGGGCCGCCCTTGCCGTGTGCCGCCGTCCTCTGGGGAGGAGGTTTTGTTGCTGGAGCCCTGCTGGCGATGCATCTCCCCACATGCCACGTGGCCGTCTGTCAATCTTGGACGGGTACACCTCAGGCGATGCTCAAGAAAACTTACATTTTCGGCCAGAGTCTCAATATTCTTAATGTTTCAATTGAATTCCTAAGATTTTGATAGAAATTCTGGGTTTTATTAAAATTCTGAGACTATGAATTTCTTAACCCATGATTTCTTAAGCATTTCGCAGGGTGTACGCTGCAGAAGGTGCCACACATCCGCGCCTCGTGTCGGTTCTCCCGCACACGGGAGCCGCACGCCTCACGAAGCATTGGAGATTGGCACCGGCGCAGGAGCGACGTCGGGGGGGATTGGGAAGCGGAGGAGGAGGAAGGAGGAGGAGGAGGAAGAGGAGGAGGAGGAGGAGGAGGAGAGTAGGATACGCCCCCCCCTGCATCCTCCAGTTCTGGAACTGTGGGGGGCTCCACGCGGCCACGTCTGGGCGCCTCGGCCAGCGGAGGGGAGGGAGGAGGGAGGCGGCGCGCGCAAAAGCGCGAGGGGACCCGCGCTCCGCTCGGCGCCGGAGCGCGCGAATCTGGGAGACCCACGGATCCAGGCATCCGACGATGTGTTGTATCAGTCAGAGGGCCCCTGACCTTGAGATTTGGGTGCCGAATACGTTTTGCACCGGGCGGCTTCGCTGGGTTTCGGGCAGCCCGACTCGAGAACGGCAGCAGGAAGTTGAGGCCGAGGGGCCCAGTCATGATTTCTCACGATGCAGCCGTTCTGTTGCGCGTCGTCGGATCTCAGGGGCCGCCTCGACCAGACCAGGGAGAGGCAGGCGCCGCTGGACCCCTCGGTGGCCTCGGAGAGAAGTCTTCTTGGAAGCACGTGCCCCGTCGGAGGCGCCGCGGCTGCCTTCGGCGCGGTGGCTGTGTCCGAGCTCTCGCGAGGGAGCTCGGTGAGAACAAGTCTCGGTATCGGGCGGTCCAGGTTTTCCTGGATCTGGCAGGTTCGCGCCGTGTCGGCGCGGCGGCAACCCCAGCGCGGACGTTCAAAGATTGAACGCATCCTGTGGTCAGGGTTGGCCGACATCGAGCGATCTGCGCCATCGGAAAGACGCGACCGCTCAAGGTTGACAGGTCCCCAATTCAAAACTCGTCAATATACGTTGCATGTGTTGGTCTGCGCCCGCCCTGCCACCGCGAACCATCGTCTTCCGTGGTTTGCACCCGTGCGCGTGCGGGTATGTGGAACATGTAAAGTGTGTGTGTGTGTGTGTGCGTGTGTGTGTGAGTGTGTGTGTGTGTGGGGGGGGGGGGAGTGTGTGGGGGGGGAGTATGTGGGTTGAGTGTGTGTGTGTGTGTGCGTTTGTCTGTGTGCGTGTGTGTATGTGTGTATGTATGTGTGTGTCTGTATGTGTGAGTACGAGTGTGTGTGTGTGCGTGTGCGTGTGCGTGTGCGTGTGCGTGTGGTGTGTTTGGGGTGTGTGTGTGTGTGGTGTGTGTGGTGTGTGTGGTGTGTGTGCCGGTGTGTGCCGGTGTGTGCCGGTGTGTGTGTGTTGTGTGTGTGCGTGTGTGTGTCGGGGGGTCGGGGTGGGGAGGGAGTGGGTGGTTGGGGGGGGTGCGTGTGGGGTGGGAGTGGATGTGGGTGTGCGTGCAAGTGCAAGTGCGTGTTCGTGTGCGTTTGCGTGTGCGTGTGCGTGTGCGTGTGCGTGTGCGGGTGCGGGCGCGTGTGCGTGTGCGTGTGCGTGTGCGTGTGCGTGTGCGTGTGCGTGCGTGTGTGTGTGTGTGTGCGTGTGCGTGTGCGAGTGTGTGTGTGTGTGGGTGGGTGGGTGTGGGTGTGGGTGTGGGTGTTGGTGTGGCTGCAGGTGTGGGTGCGGGTGCGGATGCGGTTGTGGGTGCGGGTTCGGGTGCGACTCCACATGACGGGCATTTCCCAGCAGCGACATTTGTACCAGCTTGAATGAAACATGTAAGGCTGGGATTCAGCAGCCAACTTTTTGTGGTTGGATGGGTATTGTGCCGTACCGTGCCGTGGTGGCGTGCCGTGGTTTCGTGTCAATAGTGCCGTTCCGGGTGTATTGTCCAACCCAATGTTTGCGATTGTTGTTCGGGCGCGGGGGTCCGAATAGTTATGCCCTTAGCTATGCTGTGCTCGGCCGTGGCCTTCACAGGACCCCGACCGAGCCTGGCCGGTTGCGTGCGGCCGGTTCGGTCGCTGGCATGCGGTGGCATGCGGTCTCGGTTGCGTGCGTCGCGGCCGGTTGCATGCGGTCGGCTCGGTTGTGTCGTTGCTTCCCTCTCGGCCGTTTCCGGCAGACTCGGTCTCGGTCGGGCTCGGCCTCGCTGTCAGCTGAGTCGTCTGTTTTGTTGGCGTTGCCGTCGTGGACGGCCCGTGGCCACTGCACGCCTGCCGCCTCCCTGGGCTGATCCTGGCCCACAGTCGAGACGCCGAACAAGCACTGCTCTGGGGTCAGCAGGTGCTCTGGCTTCCGAGCCGCCCCCCAGATCGACCCCACTGGCCCGGTGACGCCTCGGGCGCCGCCCTTGGCGCGCTCCGCGGGCCAGGGGAGGGGGGCTGGAGCGATCCACTGAATCCAGGGGGACCTTCAAAAGTTCATGTTCACGCAGGTGTTCCCCATATCCTGGGTACGGGGCTCTTGCCATTAGTGTCACGCCTCCGGCTCCCCTTACCCCCGCCTGTTCCTTCTCCCACCCTTCATGCACAGACACTCTCGCACGGAGGTGCGCTCACACTCACGCCCTACCCATATTTATATTCGCTTGCTAAGACCCGCTTATATTGCGACCCATTCAGATTTGTCATACTCAGACTCACTCAGACGCAGACTCACTCATGCTCAGATTCACCCATATTCACTGACAGTAAGACCCACTCACAGAAAGACTCACTCATACTCAGGCCCACTCAGAGCTGCTCACACTGATCATGCATGGCAGTTGGACCACCCAATGGGGAGTTGCCAGGGTGTTTGACACGGGCCCGTTCGCGCCCAGATCGTTGAGATGTATCGAGCTAAACGCCCATTCGCGGTTGTGGGTGCGTCTCTTTCCAGAGCCCCATAATCACCGCGATATAGTAGGCATTGCATATTAACGCCCAAGGGGGAGCCGCCAGGGAGTATGGCACAGGCTTGTCGCGTCCATAGCGAAGCACCCGTTCGCGGCTGTGGACGCATCTCTGGTTCAGAGATCTATGGTCACTGCAATCTAGCAGGCGTGAAATGGGGACCACCCAAATGGGGAGTTGCCAGGGTGTTTGGCACTGGCCCTTTCGCGCCCAGATTGGTGGGACCTCTCGAGTAGAATACCCGTTTGTGGTTGTGGAAGCGATTAACTCTTTTCCTCAGCCACATGATCATCGCGATGAAGCAGGTATGGCATCCTGGCCTCCCAATGGGGGGGGATAGGTGACACGGGCCTGTGCGCGCCGAGATCCGTGGGCCCTCTCGAGTAGAGACGGGCAATCGTGGCTCTGGGCGCGTTTCTGCTTAGAGCCTCGTGGTGACCGCGATGCATCAGGCCCAGATCACCCGGGCTTCACAAGAGGGAGTGGCTGAACATGAGGTGCACACGTGCGCGAGGAGGCGAACATCGTCTACGTGCGACGACGACGACGACGACGACGACGACGAAAGACGACGAAAGACGACGACAACGACGACGACGAACGACGACGACGAAGACGACGGCAACAACGACTTCAGCATCTCCGCGTCGAGTACGCTTTTTTCTGCTGGAGGCCCGGGGCCCGGGGCCCGGGGCAGGGCCCGGCGTGCGCGCGCGTGCGCGCCCGTCCAGGGCTCGAGGGGTCGCGCTCGCGCGGCCGCCAGCGTGGGCCCACCCGTGCGCCTGGACGGCGCGCCGCGCGCGCACCCGTCGCGCGGCCGTGTCCCCGAGGCCGCCTCGACAGGCCCGCCACGGCCGACAGGAGCCGCGAGCCACGCTCGGAGAAGAGGAGGACCGAAGCCACATGTGGACCTCCCAAGAAGCGGACGGTGGTTTGGTTTTGGGGGGGTTCTTTGAGCTGTCTTGGAGAGTTCCAGCGGGTCTGGGCATCTTGGAGGACTGTGACCACTCCCCCTTTCATTCGAACCCCGTTCCGCGCGGAGTTCTCGGATCTGCGCTGGGCCACCCTGTCAGCGCCTCGGGCGGCGCCCCGCCCAGGGTCCAGCGCCGAACCGAGAAATCCGTGCGGCCTTCCACAAGGGTATAGTTATGAAGCTGTTTCTTCCCACATTCCCGGCATAGTCCGAGCAGACGGGGTCCGAGGATCGCGCCGTATCGCCGATGCATCGGAAATATGCGGCTCGATTCGGAGCTCGATGTTCTCAATCCCGACGTCGCCGATGCATCGCCGATGCGGTGCGTTCCTCAGACATCTACTTCGGCCCCAGTCGGGTGGCCCCCGCTTACGCAGCAGAACAAGAAACAGTAAAAACAATAGATTACTTTCAAAGATCTGCACGGGCTTCTCGGGTCATCAGTTGAACCACCCCCCACACACCTTGAACGGAGCCTTTGGCGCCGCCCCTGGCGCCACAGGCACGCCAGGGTGCGTGGAGGGGGGTCCAGTGCCGACCCAAGAGATATCCGTGCGGATTTCCGAAATGTCGTATTTTGTGATTTCTTGTGGTTCCCCTCAAGTGAGTGGGCTTCATCGGCCTCCACACCCCTCTGGTGATATCGTCAAAAGGCTCGGAGCACAGCTCCCCCAGTCGTGGCTGGCCCGCGTCAAGCCACCGCCATGACTGCGAGCATGACCTCGAGCCAGTACGACCAGAAGTTCCACGGGCTGCGGCAGGCGGCGGCGGCCGCAGAGGCCCCGCCTGGCGAGGAAGTTGTGAGCAGGCCGCTCGCGGGCGGGCTGCGGTCGGCCGCAGTGCAGCCGCTCCCAAATCTCAGAAAGGCGTCGGTGGGGAGCGGCGGCGGGGGTGGCCGCCGGAACTCCGTGCGTTCCCTGAACGGCATCGCCAATGGCAACGACCTGGACATGATGAACACCCGCCTGGGGTCGGTAGTCCGGCGGCAGAACCCCTCACAGACCGACATCGGCCTTCAGATTGGGGAGTGGCTTGCCAGGGCCAAGATGCAGTGGATGACCAAGCTGCGCGGCAAGTCGCTGGACTTGAAGGAGCAGGAGGTGGACACGCTCGCGTCAATCATCCGCATGTACCGCGGAATCCAGGAGGAGGAAGTCCCGGACCACGAGAAAGTCTTGCCGGATCGTGGTTGGTTCGAGATCATGATGGGCATCGTGGTGATGGGCAACATGATTGTGATTGGCCTCGAGCTCGAGGCCGAAGGCCTTGCAACGAACGACCGCGACGTCGTCTGGATTGTCGCGGAGGCCGTGTTCTGCTTCGCGTTCGTGTCAGAGGTTGCCCTGAAGTTCCGTTACCATACGTGGCGGTGGATTTTCTTCGATTGGCCCAACATAATATGATGGGCTTCGCTTCCTGCCTCGACGAAGAACAACTGCAGAATTTCACTGTACACAGAGACCCTGAACATCAACGCTGTATGAGAACACTCATGTGGAGTCAAAATCAAACGAGGCGTTCTTGGTGTGGGTGGCCAGTGCAGCCAGCAACCGAGCGCGGCACAGAACGGTGCGCGAGCACGGCATCGCACATCTGTCGAATCCCAAAATTTCGGCATGGAAAGGCCTTCGCGCACGGCACAGCCTATCCCTCGCATACTTAGGCACGGTACGCGTGCACGGCAAGGCACAGCACGGCACGGCACGTTGTTTGCACTCTAAAGCCGAAGCACGGCACAGCATGCGGGCACGGCAGTGCAAGGCGTTGTTCGCCTTCTAGAATCTAGGCGCGGCACGGCACGACGCCTTCGCCGCATTCCAGAACAGACAGAGGCGCGACACCGCAGGCACGCGGCACGGCGCGTCACAGCACCTTTGTCGCATCATGGAACACGGGCACGACATGTGGGCACGGCTTTGCACATTTCCCGCGTTCTCGAATTTGTCCACGGCGAGGCATTACGCGGCACGGCGCATCTTTCGCTGCGTGGAACTCACGCACGGCACCGCACGGCATTGCCGTCTGCACTGTAAAACTTAGACACGGCACGTTGACGCACCATCTCGCGCCACATTTGCCGCATTCTAGAAGTATTGCATTGCAGAGTTCTCACATTCCAGAATTGCCCAACGGCGCGGCACGGCTGGTTTTACCCAGTCTACAAGTGAGGCACGGCACGGCATGGCACGGTCACCGCGTTCTAGAATTTGGGCACAGCACGCGGGCATGGCTTGATACCTCACAGGTGTCTCATTTTGTCGCGTTCTAGAATTTAGGCACGGCCCGACGCGAGGGCACGGCGCGGCGGCACGACATATTGTCCGTGCCCTGGAACTCATGCGCTGCATTTTCCTTGCACGGCACGCGGGGACGGCACGGCAGGGCTTGTGTGTTGCATTAGTTATGTTCCATGCACGGTTGCGCTCGTTGTTTAGGAACATAATCATGTTCGGACGTCCGCGCGGATTTTTGTGGGATCGGCGTTGCACCACCCCTCCTTGGCACGTGAAGCGCGCTTAGGGCGGCGCCAGAGGCACCGCGAGAGGTGCGAGCGCCAACAGAGCTCCGCCCGGACCTCGAGCACTTTATGCGCATGCAGTTTTGTTGTTATTATCTTGTCACCAGTCACGAGCATGAGCCTTTGCAGTTGGTGTAGTTTGCTGGTCAGCATTTGCCTTTGGCATTATCCTTGGTAATTCTTCCAGCTTTTATTGCTGAAATAGAACCTCGTTGTGGCTGCCATTTTTTCTTAGGGATGCCGCGCTGCACTTCCATCCATTGCAGTATACATCCAGCCCCGCTTTGCGTGGCTGTCAGGAGGAGCAGTGCGTGAAGCTCAAAAACCGAGGCAGCTGATTTGGTTCGTTGGATGCTGATCTGGCAGGCTTGCAATTTGGCCAGTCAGCAGATTGACTAGCAGGCTGGCTGCTTGAATTGGCTGGCTGGCTTGTTGGTGGGTTCGGAGTGTGGATCCTGTTTTGCACGAGGGGCCGTGGCCTCTACAGGGGATCGCCGCATTGGGAACGGGGACCCACAGCTTGCACGACGAATCTTAGCTCAAGGTCCTTTGCACTAGACCCAAGAGTGTCACGCGAGGACGAGACGGAGACAGATGAGCCCACGAGGCTTCCAAAAGGGCCCCGGACGCCTCGAGGGTGTGCTCCAAAAACGCCAGGAAATCCTTGGCAAGGGGGTCTGGCGGATCTATATTGTCATTGCGTTCTGCGTGTTTCTGGACTGCGCCATCTTTCACCCCCTCGGGATCTACAGCTACCTGCGAATGGTATCACTTCTTCGCGTCTTAGGGCTCATCGGCCTCCGGCGGACGTTTGCCCAGCTCCACATGCTGGAGGAGTTGAGCGGGGTTCTAGATGGTCTGATGACCACGGCCGGGGCGATATTTTGGGTGTTGGTGTTGTGTTTCTTCTTTCTCTACATGTCCTCCGTGTTTGTAACCGAGCAAATCGGTCACAATTTGGACTACGTGGATTATCGCAAGATCAGCGGCGGCTGGGATAACGAGGAGCTCTTCGGGACCATTGGCCGCAGCATGTTCACTCTGCTGCAGATGATGACTCTCGACAGCTGGTCCAGTCAGGTCGCACGGCACGTGATCAACATGCAATGGGAGATGGGCATCGAGGTGCTTGCGGCAAGTTCCGCCACCGTGCTGGCGCCCAGGGATGCTCGGGTGAGGGGGGGGGGCATGCAGGGAAGCGCGAGATTGGGGGGGGACCTCAGACGACTCACGGAAGCCCTGCCAGACAGCACGTGATACATTCAGGCGATCGCAAACATGGATCAAGGGGGCGTGGATTAGCGACGGGTCCCGTTTTCATGGAACATCGCAGATTTCCGCCGCCGAACGAGGCGGCACCAGCCGCATTTTGGAGAGGGCACCTCCCCCGATCAATGGATTTGGTGACCGCGCGCCAAATCTATGGATCGCTAATCCATGTTTGCGCGCATCCCGTTACGTGTTGCACCACGGCGCGCTCACGTCGTGTTGGCACGGCCGCGGATTTTCTTCATCATCTTCCTCGTGTTGTCCACGTACGGCCTCCTGAACATCGTGATCAGCATCATAGTGGAGCACATGCTGCAGGCGGCCGCCAAGAACGACAGAAAGGCCAGGGCGCGACTGGACAGCACGAGGAAGCAGGAGCTGGACAGCATCAAGGAAGTGTTCGTGCTGTCGGACCGGGACGGCAGCGGAGAGGTGGACCTCCACGAGTTTCTGGAGGCCGTGAAGAACCCAGAGGCCCGGGCGGTCCGCCAGGGTGGGTCTTCTCCAGTACTTTTCGAGATGAGGGCGAGAGGGGAAGAGGTGGAAGGATGAGGAGGAAGAGGAGGAGGAGGAAATGTTGTGGGGGGGGGAGACGTAGAGGCCTCTCGAAACGATCATCTGTCTGTGGAAGGGGGGGGGGAAGGAGGATGACGAACACCAAGGAGGAGGGAGGGTGAACACGAGGATGACTAGGGAGGCCCTTCGTCCTCCAAGCGTCCTCGAAAGGAGGGCGGACAGACAGGAGAGTGTGATATGGATCGGCGCGCAGCGCCGGGGATGTCCTTGCTGTGAGCGCGGCTCGAACAACTGGCGTAGCACTAAGGCCAAGGGCCCTGAGGAATAAAAGCGGCAGCGGCGAGCAAGGGATGAAACCACAGGCCTCTCGGGAGTGAGCTTGATTCACACTCCTCCTAGTCGCCGTCTCGGGCGGCCTCTGACAGGCCTGAGCGGGGACTATAGCGAACAAATCACTCGCCAAATGGCTTGCACGGCATACAATGTATTCGACAAAACCCAAAATAATATAGCCATCTTCTCAAGATACTAAACGGGTGCGATCGTCATCACAACAAACAACTGTGCGCGCTGAAACGAATGAAGCTTCTTAAAAACGCGGGGTTACGTGTGGATCTTTATCCGGGTGTAAAAAGCGGCGATTCGGAATACATGAAGTTGTACCAAGCGTAAAGTCTGAGCAACGATGCGGAATACATAAATCTTTACTGGGCGTAAAGTCTGAGCAACGATGCGGAATACGTAAATCTTTACCGGGCGTACAGTCTGAGCGGTAGAACATTACCGGTCCGATCGGCTAAATTGCCGTCCGAAAACCAAGCGGGGTTCACTTTTCTTTCTTCGTCTTCGCCGGTTTGCCCGCCAGATCAGATCCTCGCCAAACGTCTCTGCCTGTGAGCTTCCACCAGCGACCTTTGAGATCATTCACACTCTCCGGACACTCTCTGGGAAGATCGTGAGATCGGGGTTGCTGAAATGATAATGCTGAAGAAGCCACGACGCGTGTTTTTTGTAGGTCTTGCAAGTAATATATATATATATATATATATATATATATATATGTACACACACTGTGCGGGTGTGGCCAATGACAACAGCATGATGGGGAATGTTTGTCACACAACTGGGCATGCCATTCGGCTGCACAGTCGGGGAGGATCCGCTCCACGACACAACACTGGTTGATGAGGCCGAAACGGAATTCGATGAATTCGTCACGAAAACCACGGTTGGTGATGCGGGAGCCGAATTTCTTTGCGATCTTGCTGATTTTGATCGTCCAGATCCCCGTGCTTATGCTGCGGCATATGGTGATGGTGGTGGTGGTGCGATAGCAGGCGGTGGTTCTGTCGGTACCTGCGGCGGTGGTGGTCGCTGAATCGTAGCAGATGCTACTGAACTCGATGCCTGTGCACTGATGACAACATCCACATGGGACATCGTGATGTCACCATCGTGATCTCGATCCTCTGGAATCCTAGGTGGTATGTTGCGGCGTCGGCCGAGCACGCGGCCGTCCCAGCCAGGGTGCTCGCCCATGGCCTTCGCCTCGGCGACACTTTCTTCGGTGGCGATCGCGGTGTTCTGCCTCATGATCGCCCAGAGCGCCACGAAGATGCCGAAACCGATGGTCATGCCGAGGGCCAGCGTGAACGTCAGCAGGCATATGTAGAAGCTGTAGTCCGGCATGGTCGGCGCAGGCGTAGGCTGTCCCTTGACTTTGCCGAGGCAGGTGAACAGGACTGAGGCGAGCATGGCAGCGTGTGACTGCCGGGTCCCGTAGTTGTGTTTGCGGGCCCCGAAGAACGACAGCAGGACGCCAGCCTCCATCGTTTTCGTCAGGGCGTCCGCGACCATGGCCCAGGTCGGGACCCAGCTGAGCTTGAGCGCACTGTCGGGGTGCACGGCCTCCTTGATCATGGAGGCGACGATGCGGAGCCGCTTGTCAGTAGACTGGCCCACGTCTGAAGCGATGTGCGTCACGAGACCCTTGCTGTCGCTGTAGATCTCCCCGGGGCGCTTGTCGGCGAGCACGTCGATATGCTGAAGCGCCGTCTTGGGTTTGCATGCCTCGTTCAGCAGCTGTCGGAACCACACGTTGGTCTCCGACCCCTCGAGGGTAGCGTAGCCTTCGGCAGCGAGGGTCGACTTCACCGACCTCTTGACTGTGCCAGAGTGCCAGGCGACGGGCAGGCACAGGTCGCACCGGCCGCCGACGACGTCACGCGGGCGATGGGTGAGCTCCATCACTATGCCTTTGTGGCTCGTGACGCCGTCCACGTTGGCGAACGCGGCGTCGCTGAAGCACGCGAGGATGTCCGTCTTCAGGTCGACGAGCTTGCGCTTGAGCACGATCGCGAAGTTCGCGGCGGAGTGCACATAGGCGACTGTCTTGTTGAGCGTCTTCGCGTCGGCCACGGTAGCGACGCTGGTGCGTCGAGCGGCGAAGCTCACCGGGCAGGCGATGTCCACCCGGGTCTGCACTGTTAGCCACAAGATCTGCCCGAGCGTTCGGTGGTAGCTCGTCACCTCGGTGGCGGTGAGCCGGCCCTCAGCACCTCGGCCTTTCTGGGCCTTCAAGCCGTCGTAGTCCACCTGCGCGGCAGCGGTGGCCTGGGTCACTCGTCGAGTTCGGTGATCGTACGTCCGCAGTATGTAGTTGCGCTGGGCGATAAGGAAGTCGCCCACGTGTGAGTGGACCACCGCGGCGAGCCCACCTTCGTCGTAGAAATAGTAGAGGCCCTTCTCGAGCTTGCCCTCCACGAGGCCGTGTTTGGCGAAGACCTTCTGCGCGTAGAGGTTCCGCTGCCCCCCGGCGTCGCGCGCCCCGTAGATCGCGCCCGCGGCCATCGCGATCTTGCCAGGTTGGGCCCCCGGCGGCGGGTTCTTGGCCGGCATGCGCAGGGGCAGTAGCCTCAACGTTGCCCGACTGCAGGTAGGCCGTCATCGCGTCGCAGGACGAGATATCCCAGTCCTTCTGGGCCGCGGCGGCCAGGGTCAAGTACAGCGCGTCCCTGGATCTTGCAGGAGCGCCCGCCCTGATCTGCGACTTGTCCCCCTGGCAACCCTGCGCGACCAGGCGCGCCTTCGCGGCGCTCTGGCCCATGCTGGTCAGCACCCAGCGTGCGCCCGCAGGGCGCATGCCAGGGTTGCGCCGCAGGAGCTTCTTCAGCTCCTTGGGCGGGAGCTTCTTGTAAGCACCGAACTCCGTCCACTGGGGCCACTCGATCTTCATGGCGGCGTCCACGTTCTTTTTCTCAGTGGCGCCCGGCGCGTCGTACTTGAGCTCCTTGGCGGTCGCGTTGCCCGTGAGCAGTGCCTCGCGGAGTCGTGTATTTGCGTAGAGCTCGTCCGCGCGATTCTGGAAGTAGTTGTCTAAGTAGAGGTCGACCTTGTTCGTGCCCTTCGGCCGCTTGAAGCACGTGGGCAGATCGTCCAGGAGATCCTTGCGCCTGGCAGCGCGCTCGCGGGGGTCGAGCTCGAACTGGCGGTCGCGTCGCAGTGCCACTGGTGCGTTCTCCTGTTGAACTTGGCGCGGCGTCTTGGCGCCGCGCTGGCACTCGGTGCCCAGCGGGCGCCGCGACATCGTCTCCGGGCGCGCCTGCCCCTCCGCAATCTTGGCCCATTCTCGAATCACGTCCGAGCCATCGGACTCGATGTCGTCGTCGACTGGGCCCTGAGAGGCAGGTTCAGGAAGTGGAAAATATGCGGCAGCAGCGGCAGGAGTGGCTGCAGCAGCGGCAGCAGCGCCTGAGTCTGAGGCTGGCGCCGGCGGGTCGGCGGCCGCTGGCGGCGGCGGCGGCTCGGCGGCCGCCGGTGGCAGCGGCGGCTCCGCTGGCGGTGGCAGCGGCGGGGGCTGCTGCGCGTCTCCCCCCGAAGGCGGCGGGGGTTGGCCCCCCACTGCCGCTGGCTCCTCCACTGGTCGTGAAATCGCCGTCTCCATGGCGGCGCGCCAGCCACTCGGCGTGTTTATGAGCGCGCTGGTTCGCTTCGGGGTGCTCGATGGTGCCGAAGTTGCGTCGCTGGATGGCTTGCTGCTGATCGGGTGCTGGTAGCGCTGGTGGCGCGGGAGTCTGACCGTCACTGCGGGGGCGCCCCTTCGGTGTCGGCCCCGTCAGATCAAGGAACATGTCGTCGTCGGCGTCTGGCGGTCCAGCAGAGTCTCCTCCTTCGCCAGGATCGGGCGGAGGGGGTCCGCCTCCTGCGCCACCGCCGCCTCCTCCAGGGCCTGGAGGAGGCGCGGGCCCAGTGGTCCCTGGCGGGGCGCCCGGCGGAGTTCCAGGCGGCTGGTCGCCGTTCAGCGCGTTCGGCACTTGTCCCCACGGAACGAGTTCCGTGGCCGTGGCGCGGCGTAGGTGCCCACGGTTGACTTTCACGGTCGCGGAGCGGTGGTTGACCCATGCATTCGATGCGCCCTCGAATCCGATGATGACGGCGGGCCCGCGCCAGCAGCGCCCTTGAGAGGGACTGATTGAATCTCAGGTGATGCATGGAGGTCTGCGCGGCCTTCACGATGGCGATCCTTTCCGAGAACGGCTTGTCGGACACGATGCGTTCGCGCAGGGACAGCTTGCCGGCGTTGCCCAGCAAGACATGCGGGAGGCGAAGGCCTCGCCCGAGCACCCACTGCGACGGCGAGTAGCCCGTGGAGTTGACCTGGCTGTTCATCCACTGGATTTTGTGCGCAACCGAGGGTTGGTCGAACCTGATGCTGAACTGGTCGATCAGCTTCCTCGCGTGCACCCTTCACATCCCTCCACGTCGTTCCACGGTAGCGTTCTGCTGCGGCGTCGCCGCAGATGTCGTCAACAGGCGGCAACCCATGTCCTCGAGCTCCTTGGAGCACCCTCGCTCGACTTCGCCTCCTCCATCAAGTATGACCCGCTGAGGCGCGCCAGAAGGCGTGATCCAAATCTGCAACAGTCGAGCGAAAACAACCGATGGGCGCCTTGATGCGACAGTGCCGCACATCGTAAA